ATTCAACTGAGACTGAAACTGAAAATAGATAATACTAGAAACATCGGGGAAAGTCCTACGTAATCCGGTGAAAGTGAGACTGTCCTCGACAAGCACGATCAAGCTCTAAGGCTGGAACCGCCCTGTACCTGAAAAGAATAATAAAGGAGTGGGTCAGACAGCAAGTTCTAATCTAACTGCAATCCATACAGTGACCCGATACGCAGATACACCGTAGACATCTCACAATATCTATCTAGTCCATACGTATAAATATATCCACACTAAGGGACATTCACTAGTCTATAATAGGGGTCTCAACCTGAATAGAAGGCAACATGCGAATACGCACCCAAAGGTGGGCATGAGTACCTAGACCTAACAGGGTACACCTCAACCTATTATAACCAGCTATGCATCCACTGCATATACGCACCCTAACTAACGAGTCTGAGACTCAAGCTCAACTCGTGGTACCATAAACATATATATAAAGTCCGTCCAAATCCAGGGTAAGCAGTTTAACAATTTATTAAACTGACCTACAATAAACCAACTAGTTAGTCACTCAACTTATTCAGTGGATATAACTTAACTACCATCCGTTAATCCAGGAAGTCATCCAACTTGGTTACAGCTGATCTGACTTAGTCACAATTAGGATTCGATATCTTACAATCCATTCTATTAATCCATTAGGTTAGGTCTTAGCGTTTTGAAGCTAAACCATCCCTAGTATGCCACCGTCCCATACCGGTGCATATAATCCTCCATATCAATGCCAATTACAATATAGAAATCATAATTTAGTAAATTACATTCCAAAACATTATCCAAATAATTGCAGAAAGATATTTGATGTTCTAGCAATTAAAAATCCAAACGATAATCCATATCATTGCAGAAAGTATTTACTATTTCAACAATTAGCCTCCAAAGCATGCATAGGTCAACTTCAATACATCAATGACCCTATAATGTATTTAGAACAATTTATAAACATATTAGATCCCACTGGAATGCTCAAAAATAAGCTTGAGCAATTAAGTTTTCTTCCATCCCTTAACACAGCATTAAATAAAAAAACAATTAAACAATTAAATCCGCTTAACTAATTAATTCCAATTAAAAACTCAATTAAATAATTAAAAACACTTAATTCAATTTAAAACACATGACACATAGGTAAACAACAATTAAACCAAATAATCACATAAAACAATTTAAGTCAAATTTCAAATAACCAATTAAATAAAAATTCGATAAAGATAATAAAATAAATTAAAAGGCAATACAATAAATATGTTGAAAATGCCGAGACTATCCTTTTTAAAATTAGGGGTATTACAGAAAAGGTGTGAGTCTGAGTCGAAGTATTTTGTATTTTGTATTTTGCTTCAATTATAGTGGATCTTTTTGCTCGAAATCGCATAACAGTCTCTAAGTTTTTTCCTGAAATTAGTGGAATTTCTCTAACTAGGGTTTCCTTACTAATAACCCGATGTCGCTCTCCAAACCATTCTTTTACTTTACTTGCACTTTATATTTGCATAATTTTATTTCGGTAAAATTCACATTGAGTAAAAATCAGATGAAAGGGTAAGTTAAACCTATTCACCCTCTAGGTTAATTAATAATTATCTATATTCTTTCCCCAACCATTCCACCTTGTGCAACTCACAAAACCTATCAAGTTTGGTCAATTGACTCTCGCATTTTGAACGTTAGAAATATCTCCCACCTCGTTTTTGTTGTTGTAGTTGTTGTTGTTTTTTTGTTTTTTTTTTTGTTTTTTTTTTTGTTTTTTTTTTGTCATATTTCAATTTAACATTCACATTGTAATTATTAAAATTTTGATTAACTAAAAATTAAGTGAAGAAACATCTATAAAATGCGTCAATGTTTTGTTCATGTCATATTAATAATTATGAATTTTTGTTTATATCATATATACACACAATAAAATAAATATTTTAATTAAAAAAAATTAATAAGAGTTGTCTCAAAATCAAGCACCTACATTTACCTTTTATTTTTCCATCACTCCCACAAAACAAAGTATTAACCACAATTTTGATAGGACAAGAATTGCCTACTCATTGGTGAATAAGTCATTCCAACTACTGCTGATGTGGTCTAATCACAAATACACAAATAAAATGTAATTACAAAATTTAAAAAGTGATAAATCAGAAAATCAGGAGACTGAATTTATTCAAAAAAAAAAAGTTATTGTCTTTATTTATCACTTTTTAATTTTGTAATTAAAAATGGACAATACTTAGGTCCTTATTAGTTGATCTACAAATAAATTGACGTGTGATCTTTAATTATCAAATCAAATATATAGGATGTGTCAATTTATTATTCTTCCACACGAATCCGATCAAGTTAGCTTACTCCTACATGTAATATCATGTAATTACCTAAATTGTTAATATTTTATTTGCGCACTAAATATACTAAAAATGAATATAGAAATATGAAAAAAAATATATATAGAAATCTATTCATCTTCTTCGGTCTGATGCTATGTACCTGCTCCATTCCTGAGATAGGGTAAGCCCCTTCAACAGCAGATCTCGGGTACCATCGTCCAGAGTTTTGGGGGCAGAGTTTTCGCCATTGCTTTGCTAAATCGACAAAGTGACGAATCAAACCCAAAATCAGCAAAAGAAGGGCTTGTGCTTTAGCGATGGCTGGCTGCTATGTACAACCAGAATCTCTTGGCAGTATTATACTATCCGATCCACCCGATGAGACTGACTCCCTTATTATAAAGGATAATACCATTCTCTCAAGAATTCTATTTTCGTGTTACCCTTGAATTCATTAATGAAAAATTCAAACAATTGATTAAATAATAGGCATATTGATTGTATTTTTTTAAAAAAGTATATCGTAAATTTCTTAATTTTTAATTTTCAATTTAACGCTTAACCAGACCCATCATCAACTCCTCACCGTGTACGGCCTCCCAAAGAATCTTCTCTCAAACGATGTCAAGTCCTACACTCTCCTCCAACACCATGTTCATCATCTAATTTTTAATTTTCAGTTTGACGCTCCACCAGATCCATCATCAACTCCTCGTCGAGTACGGCCTCCCAAAGGATCTTCTCCCAAACAATGTCAAGTCCTACCCTCTCCTCTAATGTTATGTTCATCATCTAACTTCATGTTATGTTCACGTTTTTTTTTTTTTTTTTTTCAATATATATTTTAGCTCTTGTATATATTGTATCACTTTTGGGGATTTCTAGTTCAATTGAATTTTTCTTCATAAACTGTGAAAAGAAGAATGATTGAAAGGGTCGATCTAAAATTAGGAATGATTTAGTTTTATCTTTGGTATCTTTAGCACACAAATAAAATGTTAATAATTTAGGTAATTATGTGATAATGTAAGATTTGGAATAGGTGTAGACCAATTGATAGAGTATCATTACTCGAATATAAATATTATCCATTAAAAATTAGTTGTATATTTATGATTGCACCACGCCACCGTACCTACTTACCCAGTGCTAGATCTGTTTTGATACGCAAAAAACCACGCTTCTAGTGTCTGCAGCAACCAAGTCGGTCCTAATTGGCAGGTGACTTGGCCCCCATAAAATTCAACGCATGGTCAGAAGTTGAAAGACAAAAAAAATGGGCCATATCCATTTTCACGGTTAACCCGAAAGAAGACGATCCGTAAAATTCATTTCATCTCATTCTCTTAGTTTCTGCGATCTGATTAAATTATGCTTATGGTTTGATTTGCGATCTGATTAAATTATTCTTCAGGAAATTGTAGCTTCGCCGATTCGATGAAGAAGACAATCAGCGGAAGGAGAGCAGCGCCGGTACTGTGAAACTTTCGAAGCACAAGGAATCCGGCAAAGTTCGGCTTGTTATGCGGCAATCGAAGACTCCCAAGATCTGCGCCAACCACATCGGTATGAAATTTTCTCTGGAGAGAGAGATATTAGCTGGTTGGTTAGACAGAGAAACACAATTATCAGATCTACTGAAGAGAGAGAGAGAGGGAGAGAGAGATTTTCTGGTTTGGTAGGGAGTGAAACACGAGAATTCTGCTGGGGGAGAGTGATTTGCAGGTTGGGGTGTCTAGTTCGAGGGATTTTTCAGATTTGCTGGAGACCGACACGGGTTATGGTTCTACGGGTTAACCCGTTAAAAATAAGTTTGAACCATTTCTTATTTTTATTATTTTATTATAAAAATAGTAACCCTACTAAACCGATAGGGTAGTACTAGATAGAGTCGGGTTGAGCGGGTGGCTTAGTTGTCAGCGGTATTCTTCTTTTGAGTGGAAGACGAGAAAAATTGCGTAACGGGCGCAAATAATGTACCGTACAAAAAGAAAATTTTCTCATATTTGACTTATTATATCTTCTGATAAAAAATATATATATATATAAATACGGTCCCACAAGCATTTTTTTTTTTAAAGAATTTAATAAAATTTCTATTTCTGAAAATGATAAAATTTATGAGTCATAGATTTGAACACTTAAAAAAATAATAAAAAAGCTATTTTTATCCATTACAATTAAAAATCTTTGTTAGAAATCTATTATAATTAAAAATCAATTGGTTCTTCTCTTTTAGGTGTATCTCAAAGATGGTGTTCATTTATGATATCAATTACGGAGTATAAACTTTATCAATTTTTTAATATTATACAAATTTTTATTATATAGAAATATAATACTAATAGGAGTCACATTCATACCTATTTATATATTTTTAAAATTGAAGCAAATTCATACCCATTTATATATATTTTTTCTCCCATATTTAAAACATTACCATATAATCCAGAGTCCATTGGTATACACTGGAATTCACGCTTTTTAGAATCCAAACAAAAGAAGACCCAACCGTTCTTACCTTTCACGCAACTTTAAAAGCAACGCATTAAAGGACACTTCCAAAATATCTCCAATATCTCGCGCTTTTTCCCAAATTCTCTTTCCAGATTGACCACTCTCACAGGTGATGTATTCTTGAAACACCATTAGTAATCTCATTGGTCCAAGATTGTCCAGAAAGATGAAACAAAACCAATTTTAAACCAAATTCTGATTTGTTTTAGAAATTGGGTTTTAAATATTATTGAGAGAAACATAAATAAGAATAACCATAAAATTCAGCCTCATGGTCTTTAATGAAAAGGGTACCCACATCATATTATATGTATCTTGTCTAGGATTAGGGTTTTCTAAAACACTTTCTGATTTGGTATTTTTCAATTCTTGTTCCGAATTCCAATGATTTTATCATAGGTGTCTTATCCAAACTTCATGTGAATTGGGCTTTTGGATTTTTTTGCCCCAATCTTCTTTTCAATTTGGGTTTTTTTGACCACTTCGCTGTAAGATAATTCTAAATAGGCTAGAAAGTGGTTTTGGGTCAAAGGATTTGTGGGTTTGGTATATGGTTTTATGGGTGCCCACTAGGTCAGTTTTTTCTGTAACAAAAGGTGATTGGTGGGTACCATCTTCTTCAGACATCTGGGTTTAGGATCAGATCTGCTGAATCTGATTTTCAATTTATTTTTTTTCTTATTTGCTTTATTTTTGAATTGAAAAAAATACCCAGGATTGGGTTTTGCTTTAGGTTCATTGAATTTGCTTGTTTTAATCAATATCTGTTTGTAGTCATTGGAGTTTGATCTGCTTTAGGTCATTGGACAATTCAGATTCTTGGATCAAGAATGTGTAAGTCCATTGATTTTTCTTTAATAATTTAATTCAAATATTGTCATTATTCTATTAATATTTTTTCCCCTGATAGTTATGACTTTGCCAGTAAAATTGTTTTTTAATGCCTTATCGATCATTAATTATGTTGAGAAATTGCTTGATGATGTTTAGTTGTTCCTGCTGATATAGGCTTTTATACAATTTTCTGTTTTTTAATCAAATCAATGACTGTAGTCTCGGTTTTGAGGTTGAGAGATGAATTAATTTTAGGATACTATATGGAGAGTTTGATGTTATTCAATGAAAAAAGTTATATTATTTCGTGGAGAACAATTCTGCACCATGTCTGATGAATTTTTAATATAGCTGAAAAGTTAATTCTGGATCTGCAATCTGTTTTGGTTTCTAAGAATTTATTGACGCAGAACCAAATTATTGACATGGATAAAGCTCATCTAATAGGAAAAAAGGAGTTGCTCACTCTGATTCTTAATTAAAGTTGTTAGGATATTTACCTTTGAAAGAACCAAAAACTTTTACTATTGATTTGTCAGATATCTACAATTTTATGCTTAGGCATATAATAAGAAGCCTAGAAAATACTGTCAATTATTTTTCGTTTATGTGCCAAAACATGTTGACCTAAGTATAAGTTGTATAACATTATGTTAACTAGTTTGTTGCTGCGTACACTGGGAATATCATGATATTCTGTGTATTTTGTCATCATCAAATGCAAAAATGTTGCATTAGATAATATTTTAGATATCTAATGAATCTTCTGTGTACATTTATTTGACATTCTAGAAGGAGAGTTGAGCTTTGGGCATTTTATAAGAAGTTAGTTTCAAATTATTTTCAGAATGTCGAGGCAAGTTTCGAAGGCTTATCATGGATGTAGAGAGGCACATAGGTGTAGATGTTAGGAAAAAGGTATGGTGGGAGATTGGGATGTGGACTGTAATGATATATGGGTTGGCTACATTTTATGGAGGCAATCTGATTAGTGCGGATCTAAGGCTTGGTTTTTGTCGTTTTTGTAAAAGTTTTCATAAAACGTCGAAATTTTGGAACGCTTTTTGAATGTAAGTGTAAAATTAATTGGAGGAGGAGAAGAGATATGTGATATTGTGGCCCGAATTTGGTGCCGGGTCGCATTGTGACCCGCTTATGACCCGACGACCTGTTGGATGAGCTTTGTGTGGGCCCAAGCCCACCAAAATTTGACACGGTTCTTGCTCATGGGTCGTGGACCCTAATTATTCTCTTGTAGCCCGATATACAAGGGCGCTTAGGGTTTGGAGTGGTGGACAAGAGAGACTCTGAAATTCATACAGAAATAGAGTGAGGGGCTGAAAACTTATAATCTCTGATTTTACACATAGTGAAAACTTTCGCTGGATCCCAACTGTGGACGTAGGCTGTTGCCGAACCACGTATAAATCTTTGTGTTCTTTGTGGGGCGTGTTTACTTTTCTATTGTGATTCTTGATTCAACTTGAGTTCGTTGCGTTTGTCATAACAAGATATTATAATTTTGTTCATCAAAGTATCATTCATATGTTGACATGTTCTTGTGTGTTTTTGTCAATCTCTTATACCCTCATTGTCTTCTTTCTTTTAGTATTTTGTATTGGCATGTCCGTAGCGGATATAATTGTCTGACTAAATGCATTAATGCAACATGCATAACGACATTCGCACAGGTGTTAGTGTTGAAAATAGGTGATACGATACCTTTCATTTTTGTTGAAGCAGTATGTAGCTGAAATTGAATATCTTTGATGTCAGTTATTGGTATTGTTCAGCTTTTAGAAACAACCTGGCAGCTCCCTTTGAGGAAACTTATTGTGGAGAAAGATACTAAGATAAGAAATGGGGTTTTCAAGAAGGTAGGCAATAAAAGGAGAGAACTTGTCGTGTTGTCGTCGTCATCACCATCCTTGTGATTTCACCACAGGAATCGGTTTGGTCATGGAATTATATAAGCAATGTCTATTACAAGGCATGTCTCCTATTATATTTAGTTTCTTAAACTCATTCTTAATTACTTTGTCCCATGTTAGTTTTGGTTGTTAGGATATTAGCACTTAGAATTGGTAAATTCCATAACAAAAGCCAGATCTGTAACTTTTTGTTCTATTTATTAAACTTTCAGAAGTTGGTTTAATTAGCTAGAGTTGGAATTCACCTCAGATCCATGGACTCTGAAAATATCAAACTTGTCTGCTGGCTGATATGGTCAACTGTTGGGATTAAAGCATGTGGCACTGCAGTCTTTGCTATGTTTCTGACTCAACTGTCAAAAACCATCTAAAGTTTTGGGTGTCGAGAAGGCACAACTGTAGTATTATGTATAAATACGCTTTATACTGTCAATAGATGTTAAAGGCGTGCCTAGGCTCCAAAAAAGCCCCAGGCTTGTCAAGGCTCAGCTAGAGTGCCTCAACCTAGTACAGCCCAGGCCCCTTCAGTCTGGCTCACATAAAGCCCTCAAGCTTGCTCTTTTTAGTAGGTTCTAGGCTTGGAAAAAAGCGCACTTCTTATTTTTTTAGTGATTTATTTGTAATATTTCTTTTTATCTTATGACTACTAAATTAGAATGTTCTAAATCATATCATGATCATATTTAAAGGATCATAATTTTCAACCTTATATGAAATATTTGACAAAATCCATAAATTTATGATTCACTACTTACATTAAGTGCATTTAGTGCTCGATTCTGAATATTTATGATAATAGATGTTTAAAGTTTTGCATAATCATAGTTTTTAATTTTTTTCAGATTTATAATCACATTTAATTTGGTTAAACTCATATGCATTTGAAATGATTTATGAGCATTAATTTACCTGATTTTCGTAGTTGACATATCAAAAATCCCATTTTAAAAGATTTATTTATTATTTGTGTCACATATCTTGAATTTTTCTGATTATACATTGATTTTACTGAATTTACATGCAAATAGAAAAAATATATGTATGTTGATTTAGCTAATTTATTGAATTGATATGTTGAAAAAATTTCTTATTTTGATTTGATAAGTTTGTGTTGCATAGTTTATTTATTCTTTATATACTTAACATTAATATGCATTATGATCACACATGCGCTCTCCTTCAGTCAGGCTTGCGCCTTGCGCTTAGGCTCCAGAAGACCTTTGGCGCTTTAGTGCGCCTTGAGCCTTTAACAACTATGTCAACTGATTCTTTTATCATAATGATATTAAATTGAGATTGTACCTTTTGATCGTGTTCTCTCTCTCTCTCTCTCTCTCAATTGGATGCAGATAAAACCTTTTTATAACTATTAATAAGGTGATTGGGATATTGAGTAAGTTTTTTAAGAAGATGACAATGGTAATTACATATCCTGAGTTCAACTGTTTACCTGCAGGATTCATTGGACAAAAGTTGCATGCACGCGCCCCTCAGTAGTTGTTTCTATCATTCCATTTAGTCTTCTGGTGAGGATAGTAGGCCCTGAGTAATGAAATTTATATTTAACAAAAAAATTGAACACACCATGTGAAAAGCTGTTTATAATGTATTTTTATTTTTTCTTACTTTACAGTATTGATGGGGACAGAACTTGTTAGACCTTGTGTCAAAGAAGAGAACATGGATATTCCATCAATTCCACCAGGTTTTGAGTCACTTACATCCTTCACCTTGAAGAGGGTCGAAGATAATGAAACCATGACTAGTTGCTCGGCCTCTGTCAGTGCTACCGAACCACAGTCAGAAACTGAGTTTGATTGTAGTGATGATGCGAAGATTATGAGGTCTCGTAGGCGTAGACCTTGGATAAACTACAGCCAATTTGATAACAGTTCTGGAGATGAGGGTGACATTGAGCAGGTTGATCAATTTTGTGTTCCATTTTCTTAAATGTATATTTTTCATACCGGATATCGACATTATATGGTTTCAGTATAGATGATGGGATACTATAGTATCTCACATTTCATTTACATTTGCAGAATCTCCCTCTAAGGCCCCGCCTCCCAAAAGGGGTCATCCGTGGATGTGAGGCATGTAGTGACTGCCAAAAGGTTAATCTTTCAAATTAACCAATCTCTCCATTTAAAACTGTTCGCTGGGCCTGATCCAATTGGCAGGGCTCCTTTACCCACATTCTACCAGTTTTGCAGTCATCAAGATTCTAGCTAATCAAGTGCACTATGTCATTGTGCATAACGAATCACTAAGGCTACGTTTGGCTAGATGGAAATTAGTGGTGGAAATTAAAAGTAAAAGAAAGTGAAGTGAATGAAAAGAAAATAAAATTTTCATTGTGCATTCGATTATGAGAAATTACCATTTTATAGTTTGAATAACAAGGAACTTACCATAAAAGAAAGGGCATTATTGTATCTTCATAAAACTCAAGAATTCAAAATTTTCTTGTGTTTTTTGTAGGAAAGATAGGCGGTTATGAAAAGTAATTTTCCCTCAAAATTTTCATTTTCTTGCTAACAAACTCCGGAAGTGTTCAGAAAATTTCCATTTCCTTCATTTTCTTGTTATTTCCATTTAACCAAACAAAGCCTAAGCAATCCTAACATTTGCAGAACAGCAAAATGGCTGAGTACAACAGACTAGTGATTGCAATGATGTTAAAGGAGCTTAACCAAATACAATCCGTATATGATAATTCGTTATTATGCTTGCTTACTTAGCACATCTTTGTCTTTTGATATGTTTAAGTGATATATGAATTTTTGGAACAGGTCACTGCTAGATGGCATCCAGAAGAGGCTTGCAGGCCTGATCTTGAGGATGCTCCCATATTTTATCCAAATGAAGAGGTTCTTATTTTCACTTGTAACACGATTTATTTTTTCCATTTTCTTATTTCCCTCATACATTTAGATTTCTGAATGATCTAATCAAGTTTATATCCAGGAGTTTGAAGATACTCTAAAATATATAGCAAGCATACGCCCTAAAGCAGAAGCATATGGAATTTGTCGTATTGTACCTCCTCCTTCATGGAAACCTCCTTGCACTCTTAAGGAAAAGAATATATGGGAGAAATCAAAATTTACTACCCGTATCCAGAGTGTTGACAAGCTTCAGAATCGGAGGTCCATGAGAAAGTTGTTGAGGGTTTATAATCATAAGGGGAGGAAAAGAAGACGATGCATGAAAATGGGGTCAGATAATGGGAATGGTAGTGGAGAGATTTTGGGTCCTGGTGGAAAAGGAATTTATGAGGCCGAGAGGTTTGGGTTTGAACCTGGTCCAGAGTTTACACTGGATGCCTTTAATAAATATGCAGATGATTTCAAGGTCCAGTACTTCAGGAAGAATGAAAATAATGCAGATTTGAGAGGTAACATAACAATGATACAAGAGCACTTGGAGCCCTCAGTGGAGAATATTGAGGGTGAATATTGGCGGATTGTGGAGAAGCCTACTGAAGAAATTGAGGTATGATGTGAGATGTTGGTCTGCTTGTGGAGATCTTATTTATCTTCTTCTGTAATTAGTTCATTTCATCTTAACGTTGGTTCTATGCTCTCTTTCTCACTCTCGCTTTCTAGCTCTCTCCAGCTTAAATTGTGTCGTCTTCTATCGTAGGTGCTTTATGGGGCTGATTTGGAAACAGGGGTCTTTGGCAGTGGGTTTCCGAAACTGTCCCATCAAGTTGCTTCTGCTTCAGATGGAAAGTATGTGAAGTCAGGCTGGAACTTGAATAATTTCCCCAGGCTTCCAGGTTCTGTCCTCTCATATGAAAGCAGTGATATATCTGGTGTTCTGGTGCCATGGTTGTATATAGGAATGTGCTTTTCATCATTTTGTTGGGTAAGACCAAAGGGCCCTTTATCAGTTTCATAGAATGAATTGTTGATCCCTTTATTAACTTTGCATTATTCGCCTTTAAAGGTTGAATATTTAGATTCTGCATGTACATTTAGATTTGTGCGTGCCGGCATGGTGCATATGTGATGATTTAGCTTAAAGGGTAACCTTGTGAGGACATCTTTTTGGAAATTATACATTAAATAATTAAAAGTGATATGTATAGTCGAGAAATTCATAATAAGATTAATTCACCATATAGATTGTTCTAGTTCTCAATTGAGTCAGTCCATTCCATTTTCACAAATCAATCAAATTAAGACATTTCTCAAGGGATGGTAACTAGTAAGTACATTATTAGAAAAAGTTGGTTTTGTGTCGTCATGACTTTCATGTTTATGATCCAACATGGTATTTGAAGCTTACTGTTTCAGTGAAACCAAAAGAAATGAATGGATCATACACCAGGAGAAAACAGTAGTATTTAATGATTTGTTTGGTTGTGTTAGATGAGCCTACCCTTTAGGGTTGTTGCTTGATGTAATGGTAAAAGTTTGGACATCCAACTGTGATAGGTTTAAGTTTGAGAGCAATCAAATTATGCATATAATGCTAAAAGTTAGGTATATAATTTATCTTTCCCATAATGTTGTTCTGGTTGGGCCACTGCTGACAAGCCTCTTTAAATGGATATAACCGCTTTAATCACATGAATTGCCACTTTCTGGATATTGAATAGCATTAAAAAATATTCCTTAAATTGTGCATTGGATAGTATGAGATAATTATTCTTCCTCTCTCTCTCTCCTCTATTTCGGGGAAATGAGAATTTTTTTTTTTGTTACTAATTGCTGATTTTTTTTTTTTTTTTTTTTTTTTTTTTTTTTTTTTTTAAAAAAAAAAATTTGAGAACAGCATGTTGAAGATCACCACTTATATTCATTGAACTATATGCATTGGGGTGCTCCAAAGATTTGGTATGGTATCCCAGGTAGAGATGCCCTTAAATTGGAGGCAGCTATGAGAAAGCATTTGCCTGACCTTTTCGAGGAACAGCCCGATTTGCTTCATAAGCTGGTGAGCAAATATTTCTGCATGACCAACAATGTCATTTGATGTTTTGAAACTAGTGTATTTGGCTTTGCTATACCAGCTTTTGTTGAAATATGTCAGATTGTGCAGCCAGTCAATTTTGCTCTCAATTCTTAGTTGTATTTAAAACATGATATGCTTTCCTTTGATACAGGTAAATACACGTTATCATGAATCTTCATTACCATGTTATGTTATTTATTTGTGGGTGTGTGTCCCATTAGGGGTCGTTGCTTGGTGCTGTCATAAGAGTTTGAATTGCCAAGTGTGATAATGTGGATCTGAGTTGAGGGCAGCGGCAGCCACTTTGTGCAAATAACGCCAAAGGTTAGGTGTACCAAGTCTGCCCCTTCGTCAGAGTAGTGGCATTTATTATAAGTTTGTGTCTTATACTGGGGCTTGATTTTTAGGGGTGGCAACTTGACGCGCCCCAGCTGGTTTCTGCTTCTAATGGGATGGAAATGGTATTTCTTTAAACGGGTTAGGGGTGGGTATGAGATTAAGCTATGTAACCTGAATGGGTTTGGGGCAAGGACGGATACATGGATAACCTGCCCCGCCCTGATTATATAGAAAAATTACATTTATACCTTTTTTTAATTTAGTATCCCTTAAATACTCACACACACACGTGTGTGTGTGTGTAATATCTCTTACGAGTTAGGGTTTCTTATTTTACATCCTATTCTAGCACAATCGCCGCCGCCCTCCCCATTTGGCAATTCCCTAGAGACCATACAACTCGTTGCTCGCAGGCCACTCCTTCCGATCAACCACCCTGGCCATGGCGTGTGTGTGTGTAATATCTCTTACGAGTTAGGGTTTCTTATTTTACATCCTATTCTAGCACAATCGCCGCCGCCCTCCCCATTTGGCAATTCCCTAGAGACCATACAACTCGTTGCTCGCAGGCCACTCCTTCCGATCAACCACCCTGGCCATGGACCAGATCATTTGTACTCTCTCTCTCTCTCTCTCTCTCTCTATATATATATATATATATATATATAATATGTATGTGCATACATATAGATGAAGAACTCTCTCTCGCTCTCTCTCTCGCAACTTTCATGGGCTCTCTATTTTCACCCACAACTGAAACTTCTTTCTCCCTCTATTCTCTTTCTATATTTATTCATCCATATATCTATGTTGTCCTTATAAAAAAAATTCTATATCTATGTTGTCTTTCATGTTTCTTTGTTCACTTCTCTGGATCTCCTTATTGTTCTTGTGTTTTTTTCTTTCATGATTTTTTGGTCAGAACGGGGATGGTATTTGTACTTCCAACCCGTTCCGGATTTATAACAAGGTTGGGATTAAAAAATTATTATCTGGGCTGGGTAGGGTTTAGTCAAAACCGTTCCGAACAAACCCCGTTGCCATCCCTACTGATTTTTGTTTGTTAAGTCTAGTTCTTGATGTCCTCTGAAGAAGGAAAAAGAGAATCTTGTTCTTCATGTCTTCTGAATCTTTCTTCTTGTTTTCTTACTGATTTTTGTTTGTTAAGTCTAGTTCTTGATGTCCTCTGAAGAAGGAAAAAGAGAATCTTGTTCTTCATGTCTTCTGAATCTTTCTTCTTGTTTTCTTGCTCTGTTTCATTTTCAATTTTGTAGTTCATTATATATATTTATTTTAATTCTCTTAATGGAGAATGCAAGAAATCATTTTACAATTTACATTGTCCTTGAAGATCTAGACCTTTCTAAAAAAAAATTTGGTACAAAACCAGAGTTATGTTCTTCCCCAATATCCTGTACGACTTTCTTCTGCATTAACTTCTAACTAAGTAAAAAATATAGGAAGATTTGATTATCTATTTATTGATATCATAAAATACTAAAAGAACTGCTTTCTCGCAATTAAATTGGTGTCACTCTAGTCTTCGTCTCTTTTACCGTTTTATGTTGGTTATATTAGTAAATTTTGCTGTGTAATTCCATTTGGAATGAGGTTCTCATTTAATCCTTCCAATTGAAGTTCTGAAATTCGTGTAATGAGTAGCACACGTGCACAAATAATACTTGGCAATAATGTACGTTGAATACTTTCAAATTGCATTAATTTATGTCCCTTGTTCTTTTATTTGTACTAAAAAAAATTTGCACTAATGCTCATCTCTTCCATCGTCGGAATTTTGAATAGGATTCTACTGTTTTGCTTTTGGCATTTAACTGGAACTTAAAACCTGTTCTTACTGGATTTTTTTGTTAGTTTACATTGTATTTTTTTCCCAAACTTGAATAAGTGATGCACTTCAACATGGTGGAGATTGGAGACAGACTTACCTATTATAAGTGGTTGATAGCAATGTGACCATGCCACTCTCCACCCCTTAATCTGCTGGTTGCCTCCCCAACTTTTCCCTGAAATCCTTGATAAAGGTCTAATGAACTGCCAAATTGTTAGTTGATTAAATTTTTTAATCACTGAATCTGCTTTTGTTCTGTCCAATTGCTCGGCATTACTAACACTCTAGCCAACAGAGCTTTAATCCCAACCACTTGGGTTTGGCTTGTTTAGCATTAATAATGTCTGCAATAATTTTCCAAAGAACTCTAGAATTATCTTATTCTATTATTGTTATTATTCCAGAATTTTTTTTTATGTGTTACAGGCCCACTTTTGTAAATTATTTCCTTAATTTATTGAGGATCACTTCTTTTTCCCTTTAAGAATTATCAAGTACATATATGTCTTGGCTTTCTGATATAACTCATGCAAAAGAGAGAAAGATACTTTCTCCCTTTGTTTCTTACATTTATTACCTTTGAAATGCTGGGATTGATGTCAATCAGTAACCAATATGGCTGTGCATTATGTGTGACCTAATCAGGACTCATCAAACATTTTCAGTTCCTGTAACCAATATAGAAGTCATCTTTTTTGCTTTCTGAATCAACTAATTTGTGTCAGAGGAGTGATTTTCACAAATTAAAAATATTTTTGTGAATTTGCTTCCCATTGTGACTTTGAGTTTCTGAAATTCCTTTTGTAATTAAAATAAAATTTATATATAGAAGAGGTTTGAAAATAGAATGTAAAGAATGCAAAGCATTCAAACTTTTATTTGGTTTCTCATGTAAAATCTTTGCTGATATAAAATCAAAATGGGTTGCTTGTTTCTCTCTCTCTCTCTCTCTTCCCTCCCCCCTCCCCCTTTTCTTTCGATGGGGGGTTTGGGTTTGATAGCAGGGGCAAAAAAGTTTTTGACTAGACTGGATCCGAGGATTTTTGTGATAACATGATTATATGATTTTTTATTAGGTTCACTTCATGTAAAGTTGTAGTTATATCTGGAAATCTTATGTTGGCTGGTTCAGATTAGGAAATGTGTTTCTTTCCTCTTGTATTTATCCTCATATGCTATTATAAATTATTGTTTATGATCAGTATATTATTGTGTAGGTCACACAACTTTCCCCCTCCATACTAAAATCTGAGGGAGTACCTGTTTATCGGTGTGTTCAGAACCCTGGAGAATTCGTTCTGACCTTCCCTCGAGCGTATCATTCGGGGTTCAACTGTGGTTTCAATTGTGCAGAAGCAGTAAATGTAGCTCCAGTTGATTGGTTGCCTCATGGGCAGAATGCTATTGAACTTTATAGTAAACAGGGCCGAAGGACTTCCATTTCTCACGATAAATTGTTGCTTGGGGCAGCAAGAGAAGCAGTGAAAGCACATTGGGAACTTAATTTACTGAGAAAGAATACTTCAGATAACTTAAGATGGAAAGATTTCTGTGGAAAGGATGGGATCTTATCAAAAGCACTCAAGGTAAAGTCTTGTGTCTTTCATCACTTGTCTTAATGTGTTCAGGGCTAATACAAATATTCAGTTCTAAAATTATTCTGGCCCATAGTTAGTGTGTAGCTGGATTTTTTATTTATCTATAAAAAATTCAACTGTTAAAAGATTATATGATTAATAAAAAAGATGAATACAATTAAACTCCTAAGAACCGTAAATTATTGTAGTGCTTGAAGCAATGCAATAAAATATGCGCTTCAACACCGAAAGTGTGTACAGTTATATCCTTGGTGCCTTCTATTGCTGTGTTTTCTTTGACTTTGTTTCTATATATATTTTACCTAGGCACGCATTGAAATGGAGCGGGTGAGGAGGGAATATCTTTGCAATACTTCAAAGGCAGTGAAGATGGATAGTAGTTTTGATGCCACCAGTGAGAAGGAATGCAGTGTATGCCTGTTTGATTTGCACCTGTCTGCTGCAGCCTGTCAGTGTTCACAAGATAGGTTTACATGCTTGAATCACGTGAAACAGTTGTGTTCATGTCCTTGGAGTACCAAATTTTTCCTCTTTCGCTATGACATCGGTGAATTAGATATTCTGGTTGAAGCTTTGGAAGGGAAACTGAGTGCAGTATACAGGTGGGCAAGACTAGATCTTGGACTGGCCCTGAGTTCTTATGTATCCAAAGACAGTTTACAGGTCCCTAGGCATTTTGATAATTTATCTAATTCCTCAGAAGGATCAGCACTGAGAGAATTGAGTTCTTCAACACCAGTTACTTCTTTGAAAGAGATGAAAGGGAAAGAAAATACTACAGAAATCCCACATTCAACTGGGATAATTGACAGGGCAAGTTTACTACAAAAAGAGAAGCCAGATGGAATTGTATTAGCTTTGGCAGTTACGAAGGCATCATCTAGATTACCCAAGTCTATGCATGACATTGAGGTTGCAAATTATGGCTCTCAGTTCAAGAAAGAAGGATCATCATCTTCCTTACCCAAGTCTTCACATGAAATTGAGGTGGCACATGATCGCTGTAAGAAAGAAGGATCCTTTCATTTGGCTCCTGCTCTCAAAACCTCGTTGTGTAACTTCTCTCAAAAGGATATGTCGCATACTGACAGCTTGGCTGCAGAGAAAGCTGATCTACAGAAGCCTTCATTTACGGGGAATGATAATGTTATACTCCTCAGTGACGATGAGGGTGAGGAGTCAAATGTGCCACTTTCAGAAAGAGAAATTAGAACTTCTGTGAAACACACTGAACACTCTGAGAGATTGGCAGGTCCTAGTAATATGGTGAGTCAAGGTAATTGTACAACAGATCCAATCTTAGCAACCCCCACGACTAATGCGGCTGTGATCGGTGAAGGGGATGCTAGTATGTTACCCGATGGGGAAAGGAATATTTATTCTAGATTAGAGTGTGTAAAAAGTGAAGATCATCAAGAAGGTGAATTGGTTCTTGGATCCAATCCAAAGAATCTTTCACACCTGGGAGTTTCTACCAATGCAGATTTTGATAAAAATGTGAACACAGCAAATGTAGGGAGTTCCTTTACACATGCACAGCCATGTGATACTGGAAAACCTAACAATGAAGACAGACACGTGGGTTTGAATGCCAGACCAAGATTACCAGACAATGTACAGATGGCATCAGGAAACCCATCTTGCACTCAAAATAATGTGGACAGGTATTTTCGGCAGAAGGGCCCTCGTATTGCAAAATTAGTGCGGCGAATCAACTGCAATGTTGAACCATTGGAATTTGGGGTTGTGCAGTCTGGAAAATTATGGTGCAACAGCCGGGCCATTTTCCCTAAGGGTATGATGCATATGTATCAATCACATAGCTTGTATTTTTTAGGTGGATATTTGACTCGAAGCATAAGCTAGAGGAACATAATTTACTTCATATTGTTTTTTCTCCTTAATGCAGGATTCAGGAGTAGGGTAAGATACATAAGCATTTTAGATCCAACAAATATGTGTTACTACATTTCAGAAATTTTGAATGCTGCACGTGATGGACCTCTGTTTATGGTAGTTGAAACTCTTCTGTTCTTTTTATTTTTCAGTTATTTATGGTTTATACCTAGTTCTTGTCTCAGTATATACACTGTTCTATTTTTGTCTTATTAAATGGTATCATTATCTTGTTACTACTGCTTCATCTTAATCCCAAATTATGTGCACACGGATTAATTCCTTGTAAAGTTTGTCGATGCCTTGACAAATATATATGCATATGTATATAATTGACTTGTTTGCATTTATTGATTTTGCTTGTTTACCAAGTTTGAAAAACAAGTTTGTTTTGAACATTCTGTCAGTTTTCTGCCTCATCATCACGATTAATTCGTGATAATTGACGTATAAAACATGCAAGAACAAAGAAGTTGAATAAATGTTTTGAGATATCTAAGCTACTTCTGACTGTTGAATCTTACCATGTATCAAAGGACAACATATATACTTTAGTTCTGTATATTGGTTTTGATCCCTGTTGAAAATTTGAACCTTTATTTTCTGTTTCTTTTGACATAAAATGTTTTGCAGAAATTTTTTCCTGCAGTTTTAGGCGTTTGATTGCCTTTAAAGTTTTTTTCAAAACTTTTGGAGAAAATGATGATAATTTTCAAAACCTGAAAATGACTTGGGGATTTATTCCGCAAGTCATTTTTCAAATATATAATTGGAACTAATAAAAAATGTAAGTTTATATATATACCTGTTTTTGTAAATACAACATATAGTGTGTCTTTATATTTTACACACTCACACATGCAAATTTATATGCTTTGCATACATAAATACACACACACACACACACACACACACACACACACACTCTTATATGCATATTTTCATTTATACTTGCTTGCATGGATGCTAGCAACTTACATGTATGCTAATGTTAAACGCTTAAGTTCTTCTATATGTACATGGGTATATAAGTGAAGTGACTATCATGCATTTTCTAAGAATCGGTAAATTATTTTTAAAATTTGAACCAAATTCCAGAGAATAAGAAGGAAAATGATTTAGTTTTTCATGCAAAATATTCTACATAATTTTTTTATTCAGTGTAAATATTTTACATCAAAACATAGGGAGCAGTGGGGCCATTCTCTTTTGGCTTTAAACATCTCATTATAAACTGTTGATATATAAATAGGATGTGTTTTCGTTAAATGATTTTCTAGCGTAGAAGAAATCATTGTATGTATTTGTATTCCCAAATGAATGCATATTTATGAATTTTGGAAAATGTTGTACCTGTAAGATTGATATTGTCTCGAAAAAACCAGACATGTAGAAATACATTAACTTTAAGGGACAAAGAAATTTAGAAAAAGCATTTGGAAGGGACTAGTAAATTTTCAGTAGACTGCATTTACTGTTACTTTTTTGGTAAGACACGCTTCAGAAAATGTGATAATTAGAATCTAGTGGTGACTTCACTTCTAGACAAAGTGTGTATAAACCGTTTGAATGTTGACAGTTCATTATGTGCCAATATTTTCATGTTGTTGTTAGCTCTATGTTGTGAATCTTAAATACCACATGTCAGGGTGTTAACTTGTGGCTACTTAGAGTAGATGGTATTGATCAGTTTAATTTAAGGGAATGGACAAAATTTTCTATCATTTGTAATTTGTTTTGTTGGGGTCAGGGGAGAGACTACTCCTCTCTTGAGGAGATTGTTGACTTTATGAGTTCTTTGAATTCATAGGCTCCGTTTTGTCTTTGTATAGTTTGGGTCGCGTTCCCCTTTTTGAACGCTTTTAATTCAATTTACTTATCAAAAAAAAAAATTTAAGGGAATGGACAAGGGGAAAAAAAAAAAGGGAAAGAGGAAAAGAATATCAATAGTGAATTTAATTGATATAAATATAGTCATGTTACATTAAGATATGCAAATTGTGACGTATTTGTATTAATTATCGTCTTCAAGAGTAGAGCTCTGATAAAATGATGCTTCTTTTTAACACATTGTTGACTTTTTCAGGTTTCTCTAGAGCAATGTCCAAGTGAGGTTTTTATTCATATTTCAGCTGCTAGATGCTGGGAAATGGTTAGAGAGAGAGTAAATCAAGAGATCACAAAGCAACACAAATTGGGAAGAATGAAGCTGCCTCCTTTGCAGCCTCCTGGAAGTCTCGATGGCCTGGAAATGTTTGGTTTTTCTTCACCAGCAATAGTGCAGGTAAACCCACCCTCAGAATTAGTGTGAATACCTCAATGCATTTCTCGATGGAGAAATTATGATTCTTGTTTGAGTCCCTTGCACCTAATTCCCATGCATCTTTTACGATGTGCACTTAGTAGTACTTCCAAGATTTTATTTCCTGATTAGATTTGTGTAGAATATAGTTTATATATATGATGGAAATTTTATTTTTATTTTGGTAAATATAATGGAAATTTTATTTCCTGGTATTTTAAAAGAAAATTTGCTCTATTATTTTTATCTGAATCAGAAATATTTAAGTTATATTTGAAATATTAATGTGTCAAACTCATCCTTTGTAAAGTAACTACCTGAATTTTTTTCTTTTAATAAATAATTGAACATGCACTAAAAAAAGATCGTTTGAGTTGGAGTTTGTTGCATATATTTCTGTTTTATGTGATTTCGATAAGAAAAATCATACAATCAAAAAATACAACTGAGGTTGGAAGAAGATTGTAAAAAAAAAAAAAAAAAAAAAAAAAAAAAACCACAACTGAGGCTGGAAGGAGATTGATGAACCCCCTCAAGAAAACAGGTGTCATCCCCTTTATTCCTGAATTGTAATTTACAAGAACAGATATCTATTTAGGTTGGAAGGAGATTGACTAACACCTCAGAACAAAACAGACCTTCTTGTCATCAGAAACTGGAATCCCCTTTTTTGCTTACTTCCTGTGCTTGTGCTTTTATGTTTTTATCCTTTTTTTAAAGTGAAATTTTTTTAAGTTCTGCCAGTAGACATTCCGATTCTTCAGACCATTGTGAATTTTGAATTTCCTCTCTCACACGGCAATCTTCTCAATAACGGAGAACTTTTACATGTTAAAAGAATTATGTTCCATTCCTTTTTTTTTATTATTATATATATTTCTTTTATAGGCTATTCAGGCAATGGATAGAAATCGAGTCTGTACAGAGTACTGGAAATCTCGACCCTTAATGCAGATTCCACAACATTCTCAATCTGAAGATGATGGAGCCAATATCATTGTGAAGTCTGAGATATCAAATGATGCCGAGGACAGGAGGAGCAACCCTTTGCCTACTGGAATTGATACCATACTCAGTGGCCTATTCAAGAAGGCGAATCCAGAAGAACTACACTCACTGAACAGCATTTTAAGTGACAACAATAGACCAAACACTGATCAAGGTCTAGTGAGTCGGCTCCTTAATGAAGAGATTCACAAGCGCCTGAGATGATTCATACTTTTGGTCTCGTGATTTTTGGGACTGGACTTACCATGACAGTTGCGATTTTGTAAATGCCGAGAGCCCTTTTTTCGGGTCTCTCATATACATCTTCCCACCCAGGGATCTCATAAATTTTGTACCATCTTCTTGTAGCAGAAAACCCAGAAATTTCTTCTGGTTGATACTCCCACCTTTTTTTCTTAGGGTGTCCACATTCATTTAGCAGGGGCAACCAATTAGTTCCATTTTTTTAATTTTTCTACAACAGTTGTATAAACTGAAGTGCAGTCTCACCTTTTGTTCAATAAATCTGAGATGGGTTAGAAGATATTTACTTGAATTTAGCATCGACTATGAATTTGCATTATGTTTAGATTAAAAAGATTGCAATATGTGGGGATCGGATTAGATGTTTACAGAATTGTATACAAGTTGACGTTCATATTATAAGCTTTTGAGTAATCCATGTCCTGATTTTGAGTTGCCGTAGCAGTTTGTGCCATGAGCTTATCAACGGTGAATAGAAGTGGTTTTGGGAGTGCCAAACTTGAAGTGTGGCTGATTTTTTTTCGATAACCGGGATGTCCGGAGCTTTTGTCCCCGACTAATCCACAGGCCACGCAAGGCTAGTGCTTTAAATTCTCTTGCCCAAAATACGGTATTGGTCAATAATGACAAATTTAAAAGTCATTTTTAGCCCCAATTTTAGAACCGTTGTGAAATTTATCTACAAATTCACCCTTTTTGGTAAGCATCCACAGACTCCCTTTAATCTTTCATATGAAAAGAAATATGATTAAATTGCCTAGATATGGTTTCTGCGTCATGTTATATCTAACCAATTGGTAAAACTTTGAAGTACCATTTTTCCTCAAATTAGTCCATCCAATACCATCCTCTCAAATAGTAGCACTTGTGTTTTGTGAACTGTGAAGATTAAAATTGGTTTCATCGTTCAAACATTTCCCATTTGTTTATCTAAATACCCAGACAGCTGTTTTTTGTTTTTTTTTTTTAATTAATAAAGTTGAAACAGTTTCTGTTTGTTGTGATTTAGGTTCTACAACAAATCACAGCTCAAAAAATGGATACCTGTACTTATTTATTTATTCGTTTCATTTTCAATGCACACTTTTACCATTATGCTACAACACTTAGGAAATGCTCTTCCTCCACCTGTATCACAACACACACACACACACACACTTATAGACAAAAAAACCAGGGCTTACCACAACTGGTGCTATCAATCAGCTATTTTCCTACTTATGGGAACACAGAAATCTCTAATGCAAAAATAGCAATCTAATTTACAGCATAATGGTTGGTTATATCATCAAATCTTTTGGCATCCATTAAACCCTCAATCACAATCTTTGTTCTTCTACAAGGAAGCGTGTAGCAAATATTATCAAATACTGGTTACACGCTTTAGCAAATAGTTGTATAATTTCTCCCACGCTTCAAACACCTCAAGGACTCCTACGTTTTGTAAAAAAAACTACTTGCGTCATCCTCACAATTGGAAATGTGAGGTTCCAGCCACACAATGGCAAAGCTGACTCAGCCCAAATATCATTGCTTGTGATGAAAAAAGGGTCACTGTTTGAAGATGCTACAAACAGTGGCAATATTCATGTTCAAAACAGCAACTGCAACAGTTTCTTCACGACTTCTTATATTTCCTCTTCCTCAAAGGGATCTCGTTCAGGGTAGTCACCAACCTGGGAAATATTCAGATTGAAACAACATTCAAACCACTAAATAACTAAGTAAAATAATACAACCAAGCCGCTTAATTGGGGACACTTTTTCTTTGGCTAAGGGTATTGGATGTAACAACATGGGGTGAACAACCAAAAGTATTGATGACATAAAAATATTTTTAAAATATATATAAAGAAAGAAAGCATACATACCAGCTGCAAACTTAAATTGCATTTAAAAGTTAAAAGAGCAATTATGTGAAGTATAAAAACGTGTATTTTCTCACCACCACAGTAATAAGAGCGAAACATCTCACAAAGAAAAATCAAGAAACCTTTAAATACAGCGTATGTCTAAAACTTATTGTGAAGTTACTCCAACTATATCATGTATGTGTTGCCTATAGTTCAGAGGAAATTTAACCTATAATTAATGGACAGGGCTTCACTCAGTTGCACTCTCACATATAGACAAACAATTCAAAACATGAACTTTTCCTTTAAAAAAAGGCAAACTTGTGCTTTCTTGTGGTGTGCCGTGCTAAATTGTGTACCATTACTGACGATTGTATATTAAAATACAATCATACTCTCATTTTGTTTTTATATATCTAAAATTCCCTTGCCAATATATCTCTTACCTAGAGCGGGTTGCTCCATTGTGACCTGAAAATCACGGGATCAAAATGGGATGCAGTCTCTCCACATGTTGAGGTAAGATGACGTACGTGTGACCCTCCCCAAACCCCACAATAGTGGAAGCTTCATGCAATGGGCTAGCCATTCTTTTTCTTTTATATATATCTCTTACCTCACATTTCCTTGGAGAACTAGGGTTCCTATTTCACACAGCCACCACCCCCCACCCCACTCCACTCTTACTTTCCCCCCTTTCCCCTCACTTCACTCACGTTTCTCAAGCTTTCATCCATTAGTCTACCTAAGATGACCACTACAAAGAAATTAACGGGCACTAGAATGGTCCACCTGCCTATCAAACCAGTCTGGCCTCTAATGACACCAAGTCCTGACTATGTCATATTAGGAAACAGGCACTAACAAAGAAAGGAGAGGATAGTTTTAACTGTTTATCGTGTTTAAAAGATTAGAGAGAAAAGAAAGGAAATCATAATGGTAGTCCTTCATCGTGTTTGAAAATGATGGTTGAGAGAAAAGAAAGGACTGGTTTATTTTGAAAGTAGTAAGAAAAAATATAAATTCATTTGTTTTAAGAAATAGGGGCAAAATAGGTAAAGCACACTAGGTCTCCCATCTTTTCTCTCCAAAACAGTCCACTTTAGGAAGGATAGCAAAACCATTATTCAAAGGGTCAGGGTATCCCTCCTAATTCTCTCATTTCCCTTCTCATTTTTAAAACAACCACAAGAAAAGTTCTCCCGCTTTATCCTCTCATTTCTTCTCTCTCCACTTTCCTAGAGGAAGAAATAATAATAGTACAGATTAAGCAAAACAAAACAAAAGAGCCAAAATATGTACTCCATCAAGTCTCAATCTCCATCATCATCTTTGTTCAGATTAACTACATAACCAAGAAAAAAAAAAAAAAACAATATATATCATCAAGTGTAAATGCACACATTAAATTGCAAAAAGACCAGAATTTAAGTAGATGAAGGATCAAGCAGAGCACAACCAATTCAATAAATGTTCAGAATAATTTCACACCCATGGGATCTATTCCAATCATGCAATTTATTCATTATTAACACAAACTGATGGATATCCAAATATTATAAAATGAAATAGGGTAGAACTCTGATTTCATCTAGAATTAAAATGTGTCAGGTGCATGATAAGAGATCCCTCAAGTTTCATAAATTTTTTTTTTTTTTCATTTTAAGGAATTCATATAAAGATTCAAAATATAGAACTTAAAATATATTTGTTATGCAAGCCTCAGGCGCGAAAAAGCAACCATTAAAAGTGCAAGATGCATTTTGTGCATTTCAAATGGAAATGATAAGGATGTACATTATTCCATTTCATCCTAAAGGAACAGTTCCAATAACCATAAGTCATGGAACAAAATTTTAAAAACTAGCCTCAGTTTTAACGCTGTCACTGGTTGCTGCCAATTACAATTTTCATAAGTTAATTTTGGACTTTAAAGTATTTGAGAGCTTCAATCAATTCATTTCAGTCAACCAGTTCTGCTTACCGCATGTCAATTGCACTTTCTTATATCTTAAAACAGTATGTTAATAAGAATATTTTTTTTTTCCAATTTAAACATGGTCAAATCAGATTATAATTTATAGTGAAAATTCACAAAATTAAGTTATATCTCCCAGATTTAAGAAAGAGATGAATTTGTTGCCCACAAACCTTTACTTTGTCTGGTCTGACCAGTGCACCATGAAGTGGAGGACAATCAAAGTAACGTGTTCCTTTCACCCTGCAATATGATTGAAAGAATTTCACTAATGCACAACTCAACAAACATGACCTATGCAGAGAAAAGAGAGAAATTTAACATGTCTAGCACTAATGAAAACAGTTGCCACCTCTGTAGACGTCAAGTAGCAGTGTAGCAGACCTTCAATGTAGTTTTGGTTCAAACAACTTAATGAATCATAGACTATTAGGTGATGCCTGGTTAAAATTTCTATCCTTAAAATGATATTAGGTTGTTTTTTGTTAATGCAATTTTTCAGGGAATGAAGAATCCCAAAAGCAATAAATGTAAGAATTTCCTCTGTTGTAGTCCCAATCTGCAGACTCATAATAGATGCAATACTTGGATAAGAACAAGGCATGGAAAGACCTTCTAAGTCAATGACATTGCAGTTTCACTTTGAAGCATGAGGACTTTGCGATGTGTTCATGCTAAGAATTAAGCTGCTAATGATTAAAATTCCAATGAGCTTTTTTTCCTCATGGTCTAGGTTTGCAGGAAGATATATTACGGTAGCAGATGCTTTGATGAAGTACTCTCACTTTGCAGAGGGGAATCAAAAATTTGATCACTAAAAAGATGTTCCATTTGCAAAGGGGTTCCCTTCTCTAACTATTCTAGAAGATAGACTTATGTGTCCTTTAACAAGTTTAAGGGGATACACCTGGTGTATAAAATTTTAGTTTCAAAATTGATTGTGATATCCAAGATGTTAAATCTCATTGAGTTAGTTTTTCCACTTCTCTCTCAGTGAAAACTACAAAGATAAGATTTTTTGCTAATCAGATTCATTATGTGACTCCCACCATGATTCAGTAGTTGTTCTATAAGTTTGTTCCTTGTATCCACTTCCCAATCAGTAACCTTACTTCACCAAAAAAGAAATATATATTGTGCTGTTGTGGCCCGAATTTGGTTCCAGGTCGCACCTCGACCCGATGATGGAAATTTTTTTAACAATGTTTGTTGCTTCAGGTCGTGGATCCTGTTTAGTACACTCCTGTAGCCCGATATATAAGGACGTTTAGGGTTTGGAGTGGGATTTTTGAGATAGACTGAAAACCGCAAAAAAGAGGGTGAGAGCGAGGGTTTGGGGATTCAAAATTGTAATCTCCTGTTTTTCGCATAATGAAACCTTTCGTTGGGTCTTCACCGTGGACGTAGGCACAACTTGTGTCAAATCACGCTAAATCTTTGTGCTTTTTGTATAAGGCATGTTTACTTTTTCCTGTCATGTTTCGTGATTTGTTCTTTGTTCGCAGCATTTGTCGTACATATAAACAAACACACACATAATTACAGGATATTTAATGCAGAATCCATTTCCTTTCAGATATTTCTCGCATTGGATTGCTTTCTTATATAGGATATTTAACGCAGGCCCAATTAATATGCAAGGGAGATAAGTTTGTCGATTGCTGTCTATTATGTGTTGGAAGACCATCTCTTTCTTTCTTTCTTTCTTTCTTTTTTTTTTTCCCCCCTCGAATGTAGAACTTGTATGTTTTCAGTTTGGGAGAACTGAGGCTTCACCTCATCTCCCCCTACTAGCTAGCAGCCTCGCATGGTGAAGCCCTTGACTCTTTCCTCCCCCCCCAAACTCAAATCTATAACTTATACGTTTTCAGTTTGGGAGAACCGAGGCCTTCCCTCATCTCCCCCTACTAGCTAGCAGCCTAGCACGGCGAAGCCCTTGACCTAAGAATTGGCCCTCTACTCCACTTATAATGTCAATGCAGGAAAAATAACAGAAGAATATCTTATCAAATTTTAAACAAGCTATAAAGGTGTGGAGTGAATCAAGGACCTCACAGATATTTGGGCATATTCTATAGTCTTTGTGAAAGTTTCTTGGCAATTATGTTGATTGATATTATCATTGGCTATCAGCTGTTCCTTTTGTTGCTTCTTTTTTATTAGCAGTCATCCTTTTGTGCTCTTTTAGGCTAGAGGTGACCTCCAGCTACCCTTTCCCAGAGATTTCTTTATATAATTTGCCTTTGATAGAAAAGAAGTTCTCATGGGTCCCTCATAAACTCTTCAATTGGATAGGATAAGTCAAGTCCCTGAAATTCGGGGTGGGTGTGTGTGTGTGTGTGTGTGTGTGGGGGGGGGGGGGCCGGGGTGTGTGTTGTTTTGTTTAGAATAGGTTAACCTCTTTTAACATAAAAAATAAGCAAGTAAATTAGGCATAGTGCTGAAATATAATGCATAGAAAGCATCCAACAAGAACATCTAATTTTATGCGGAAAATTCCTTCGAAAAAAGGGGCACCTGGTTCAAGTAGATCACTAAATCCTAGAATCACCAAATGTTCCTCCACAAACTCTCTATACTTGATTAACGAATCTGCTCCTCAAGTGATGCCCTTCAACTTGTGTTTGATCTCCTCTTAACAGCTTCTAATCCTTGTAGGTTGTCTGGGATTTTCTATGTGTGGAACTATTTGATGCACTGGGATTAATCATAGATCAACACTCAAAGACACTCACCATCTAGATGATATGATGGTGAATGGAAGAAACAAAATTTAGCAATTAGATTGCTAGGATGCATTCTAAAATGCCTCTTAATGCTTAATGATGCTCTCTCTCTCTCTCATAAAGCATAGGGTCCTTTATATAGGAGATTGAGGCTGAAAGAATTAGGGTTTTAGAGTTTGAAACCTTTTTGGAAATTGCTATTCCACAGAGTTCAATATACCAAAGATCAGGTTAAATCGATCACCTAGTCCAGTGAGGTACAATTGATCCTCCTATCAATCGAACTTCCCTACACTTAAAGTTTTTTATTCAAAAACACATGCATTTGAAAATAAAAATGTAGTGACCAAAACATGTAAATTATAATCCCTAATCATGTTTAATATTGAGAATGCATGATTTTGCATGTTTTCATCCACACGAGGCTAATACATTTAAACTACAAAATAACTCAACAATGCATTGTGCATGGATAAAAAATTGTAACAAATGAATTATTCTATTTTGGGAGTGAATGTCCATGTTTCGTGTGCAACACTTCATTGGCTACGAGATTGCATTTCTGTATCAACTTATTAATGAACCACCTCAGCAATTAAAGTTTAAAAAGTTGCTCTTTACTTGTTAATACTAACAACAAAACAATATAGTTCAGTGAATGATACTAGGCACTATAAGCAGTTGAGTAGACAAATTCCAAAGTTAATAAGGAACATCTAGAAAATGAGAATTTGGAGCAGACATACATGCCATCATGTTTCCCCAAAGGTTCATCATACTGTACTCCAACCCAGAAGCCAGGTGCAAGAGTTTCTGCTCTGCCCACAAATTTAATGACACCTCTTTTCTCCCCTGGTTCAACTTGACATCTATCTCCTACCTTAATTGGTGAAAAAACCGAAGTTACAACAAAATAATGCTCAATAACAGTGGTCGGGTCAAATAATAGATAAGAGAACAATCGCTTAATGTAGGAGAAAAGAATGGCAATTAAGAATACTTTTCACTCTTACTGCATATAACAAAAGAAAATTGATAGCTTAAATATCAGATGTGCCCACATACACATGAAAAGTTCAAATTTCCACTTGGTGTAAAATTTGAGTTACGTTACCCCCATTGATGGGGGGAAAAATTAACGACTGGTATATCAGGGAAGTCCTAATTGCAACAGATGAATATACCATACAATATAACCATGGAAAAAAAACTAGTATTTGCAGATGAGCCCAAATTCAAAGAGACCATTCTAAATGGTTTTAGCTTGGCACATAAGTTCTGAGTGTCAAACTTACATTATATGGTAGTAAATGCTCTAAATTATTAACTGATTGCTCCGGAAGCAATTGTACAATCTTTAATGATGCAGTTTTGCAATACGAAGTAAACCTAGTACCACAAAGAAAAATACTCAATTACTTATTCATCACCTTAATTTCAGATAGTGTTCTGTTGCTGTAGATTATCCCAATTAAGGTTAGGAATAACTGAATAACAGGTACCCCAAGCATTTATTTTTTCAGGCACATTTTTAAGCAGCAAATGGGATTGTGTAACCAACAGGGTGCTGAAAAGGCACCCCATACTGGAGGTTTATAACTTAATCATGTCCGGCGTTTGACACCTCTCATTCGGTCCCTCAACTCCCTCTCATTGTTATAAAAAAAAAATTACCAAGTCAGTCCCTCTGTCACTGTTGTCTGCCGTTTATTAAACAAAATCAGCATATTAAACCCAATTCTATGCTGACGGAAACAAACATATTCTGCACTAGACTGACAAACATATTGCAGTAGTCTGGTGCTATATTAACCTAAAGTGGCACAAAATGGTCCTAATCAATTTCTAGAGGCCATAGTTCTGGTTGAGCCACAAGCCTCACTGTCTTTCCTTTATGTTTAAACCCATGTCAATTTGGTCTTCGTGCTGCCCAAGCAAAACCATGATGCCTTGCCTTATCTTACTATATAAGCTCCAGTCAATGTGGACCATACCTCTCTTATTATTGGTTTAGTTAGTAATCATCATCGTGCATGACTATTTCCCATATTAAGAGTTAAAAAACACCCAAGTATGACACATGATCGTTTAAAAGGTTTTATCATTTATTTTTCACAAATTAAGAGGCGCTAAAAAACTACAACTACAACTACAAACTAGGAATAGTGCATATGCACTCTTAGGATATAACATAGCTTTCCATTGAGTTTAGTGAATAAGATTTCTAAACACCTTCAGAGAAGCTAACACCGAAGATGATGGTAGTCGCAGTGCTGATTTTCACTCAGTATTAGAAGATTGTCTACCATATAATAAGGTATCAACATGGTCTTTTTTTTTTCGTTTTCCAGCAATACAAATTTCAAAGGCCAGGCCCAAAAAAAAAAATGTGTTTCAGTCAAAATAAATGAATTAAACAAACCTTGATTTTTGAACAAAGGTCTTCCATGTAGTTGTCTGATATCTGTTTCAGAAGGTTGAAGTATTGAGAATAAGTACAGACCCATTTGTAAATCACAAATAAACAATACGCAGACAATACTTCAAAACTTAAAATAACCAGACCCCCCCTCCCCCTCCTCCAAAAAAAGAAAAAGATAAAGAAAAATGAAAAAGGAGAGCCAAAAGTGAAGGATGAACAGGGCAGCTACGGATCTAATCAACTACAAATACTAGATAGTGTCACCAATGGGAATTAAACAAAACTATCCACCTCATTAGTAGAGTATAGCAAATAAAATATGAGAGGCTTACTTTAGTCTCATGAGCTGAAGGATTTTGGTGTGCCAATTTTTCTTTAAATTTTCTAAAAGTACCTGAAACATGAAACAACCTCTTAGCCGGAGCTACTGACGTGATTAACTACATTACTTCAATCACTAAGCACAGCATTTGAGCAAGAACAAAATCCTGCCCTATTAAATTAATCTGCATTCACATCATAATGAACTAGTTGTTGACTTTAAGATATAATCAAATCAAGAGTAAGTGATAAAGAAGAAGAAAAAGAGAAGAAAGCAGATGAGAGAAAAAAAGAGAGAGATGGGGAAAGAGAGAAAGAATGAAAAAATACTTTCATCCTTCCACCACATTCTATTTATAATAACAAGTTTTAGAAATTACACATAAGCCCCAACATTATATAAGTACTAACAAATAAGCCTCTAACAACACTCCCCACTCAAACTGGTGCAAAGATATCTATCATGCCCAGCTTGACTAACATATTTTGCAAGCAAGTCTTGCTTACACCCTTAGTCAAAACATCTGCAACCTAATCATGTATGTTGATGTATGGAGTACAAATCAGCCCAAGAAGAAGCTTTTCCTTGATGAAGTGTCGATCGACTTCAATGTGCTTTGTCATGTCATGTTGAACTGGATTGTGGGCAATGCTAATAGCAGCCTTGTTGTCATAATACAACTTCACTGACTAGCGAACAAGATAACCCAACTAACCCAATATCGTACGTAGTTATAACAACTCACAAACTCCATGTGCCATGGTTCTGAACTCAGCCTCTGCACTAGATCTAGCTACTACAAATTTCTTGCTTCGCCATTAAACAAGATTACCTCCAACAAATGTACAATATCCTGAAGTAGATCGTCGAACTATCATAGACCCTGCCCAATTAGCATCAGTATAGGCTTTAACATGCAAGTGGCCATGACTGCCAAACAATATCCCTTTACCAGGTGAACCCTTGAGGTAACGAAGAACACGATGAACTGCCTCAAGGTGAGGTGTACGTGGAGCATGCATAAACTGACTAATCACACTAACATAGGCAATATTCGGACGCGTGAGAGATGAGTAAATCAGTCTCCCACTGTACAGGATCCCGAGCATTGGAAAAAAAAGGAACAGACTTAAAAAATGTAACATCCATGGAGACAAAGCAACGATGAATGGTAGGTTTATAACACCGATACCCTTTTTGAGTGGCGGAGTATCCAAGGAAGACACATCGGGTTGCCTTAGGGTCCATTTTGTCCTTGCGATGATGAATGTGAACATAACAAACACAAACAAACACTTTCGGAGGGACAATAAATAAGGCAGTGTCATGGTGTAAGATAGAGAAGGGGGATTCATAGCTAAGAACCTTAGAAGGCATGCGATTGATAAGGTATGCAGTTGTTAAGGTTGCATCAGCCCAATAAATTTTAGGCACTCCCATCCTAATTAGAAAAGAACGGGTCACCTCCGTAATATGACGGTGTTTTCTTTCAGCTACACCGTTCTGTTGTGGTGTATCGACACAAGAGGTTTGATGGACAATCTCATAATCAGCAAAAACGGGGGCAAGACCACCATACATAAAGTATCAGATCGAAGGATTTTGAGGGGACAACCAAACTAAGTACATACCATCCGATGAAAGGTTTTAAAAATGGAATGAACTTCATCTTTGGCTTTTATAAGATAAAGCCAAGTAAATTGACTAAACTCATCAACAAACATAACAAAGTAACGAAAACCAAGTACCGAGGTAGTAGATTTAGGACCCCAAGCATCAGAATGAACAAGCTGCAAAGAAGCTGTACTTTTATTAACACTGATAGGATAAGAAACACGACATTGTTTGACAAGAACGCATGTTTCACAATTTAACTCAAAAGATTCAACAAAAGCAAACTGGAGAAGCACACGCTTCAAAATAGGAAGAGGTAATTATGCCATCGCATTAACAAATCTTTATTGACATTACTATTCCTAACACTAGATTGATTTGCAACATAATAAGAAGTTGGCCTAACATTCAACAAAGACCAGCCATTGTCCTCAGGTCCACTTCCAATCGTCTTCCCCGTGTTCACTGGCAGATCCAAGGGGGGGCTTGGGTGTGCTCAAGCCCACCCAAAAAAAAAAAAAAATTTATTACTAGTATTAGCCCACCCAAAGAAATATTAGCCCACCCCATTGACAATTTCTGGATCCGCCCTTGCTCGTGTCCAAGTCCTGAAACACACAGTGAGATGGAAAAAAGGTTACACTACAATTCAAGCCTTTTGTAATGTGACTGGCAGAAAGGAGGTTATTGGTAAACTTTGGGATATGAAGAACAGAGGATAAGGTAAGATTAGGAGAGGCAAAAACAATGCCCTTCCCCGCAATGGAGGTGAAGGTGCTATCATCCACTTTAACCTTATCCTTACCAGAACATAAACTGTACGAAGAAAAATCAGATGCCATACCAGTCATGTGATCAGTGGCTCCTGAATCAATGATTCAGGGTGGCCCACCAGATAATGTGGAAACCTGATGTGCCGAATGAGAGGTGCCTGTCTGAGTGAAGTTAAAGGTGGAAATGGAGGAATGTTGTGCTAGTAGATTTTGGAGAGCATCAAGTTCAGCCCCGCGTAAAGAACTCAGTGGCCCTAAGGAGGCATGACAAATAGAAGCAGTCTCACGCTCTGCAGTATGTGCCGTAGATAACCCCCTAATGGATCTGCGGGACATGTGGATATGATTAACATTACTTCCTTGCAAACAAATCCCATATTGGAATCTCTTCAAAACCCTTCACACCCACTAGGGTTTACACAAACTTGTCCTAGGGTTTCAACTACACACCTAGAGCTTTACAAACCATGCTCTGATACCATGTTGACTTTAAGATATAATCAAATCAAGAATAAGTGATAAAGAAGAAGAAGAAGAAAAAGAGAAGAAAGCAGTTGAGAGAAAAAGAGAGAGAGAATGAAAAAATACTTTCATCCTACCACCATATTCTATTTATAATAACAAGTTTCAGAAATTACACATAAGCCCCAGCATTATATAAGTAATAACAAATAAGCCCCTGACAACACTAGTTTCGAAGCAATATTATTGCATTAACAAGCAAAAAGTTTACAAGATTTACATATACTTAGAAATATTTTTAGTTTTAACCCCTAGACCCAAAAAACAAATATATGTATTACAATGAGAAAAGAGAATGTACAATGAATTAGGGAAAACAATATGACTCGTCTTGAATCCATGCAATTTTTTTTACCACAGAGGACCAAAATACAACATGAGACATAACCTCCCTAATCCAATTGAAGACTCCATGCTGTTTCCAGTTGGATCATAAATTTTGGTTCTGAGCAGAGAAAGGATGAGGTAGTCATTGTACCACAAACTCTGTAACATGAATTGTAGGTGTCTCTGTCACCATTTTTTTTTTTTTTTTCCTTATGAACTTGTAACATAATAAAGCCAAACTCATATGCATGATAATTTTGCAGTTCCTCTTTTACTTTGGGAAATGTCAAACACTGCATTAAAGTAAATGACAGAAAATGCGAAAGAATTACAGCAAGATGAAAAATACTATATTTGAATTAATTATGGACAGTACTTGTCTCCTATTTACATGTGAGTTGGCCCTTTCCCTTGCCTCTTTTATTTTCTAGGAATTTCTGCATTTACTGGGTTTCAGTTCATGACATAATATATATTTTTAAAACATTAAATAGAATAGGGTTATTCTGTAATTTTGGTATTTAAAAGGGGCAAATTGCACTTATATCCCAGGCCTATCCCAAACCCAGTTTGGGTCTAAATTGAACTACCAAGCCTGCACCTAACCCTGTTTATAGCATCCCATCCCTGTCCCATTAGGGCACAATTGTCATCCCTAGTCTAACCAACTCTAAGAAAGTAAATATTTGACCAAATGAAATATTAAAATGGAGATGTTTATCTACACAAGTTCCTGCCTTTGGTATGCAAAATAAAATTTTATAAAGGTGTGCCGTCCAGTTAAATTGAAATACCAAAACCACACCCTAACCCTCTTTATAGCATCCCATCCCATCCCATTACGGCACAATTGTCATTCCTAGCCTAGCCAACTCTAAGAAAGTAAAAAGTTGACCCAATGACTTTTATACTCTTAATAAGCCAAATGAAACATTAAATTGGAGATGTTTATCTACATTCTACACAAGTTGCTGCCTTTGAGTATACAAAATAAAGTTTTATAAAGTCTTACCATCCAATTTATCATAGGCTTCTTCAGATATTTGGTACTTCTCCACTAGTGAAGTGTCTTCCAGCCAGCCACCAGAGGTCACTGATGATGGGTCGAGATCTATGACATGCAGCCGATAGCTACAATAATAATACTAATAATTAATAAATAAATAAACAGAGAAAGAGAGAGAGAGAGAGAGAGAGAGAGAGAGGCCTATCAACAAAAGAGAAGCCAAAAAAAAAAAGTATATTGACAAGAATGCAACAAAGATATTTTAGAAAAGAAGAAGATACAATTATCATTAAAAACAAGGAAAAAGCTTTTTCACTGTATGGAATTGGGAGTTTCTCTCGTACTTCAGTTTTGCCTTCGGACAATGTTAAATGGTAACAAATGAGATTGTGATGCAAATGATAGATTGGGGTTGATTGAAAAATGACCAGCTTAAAATGTTTCAGTTCTAGTCAAAAGAATGGTGGATTTTCAATCAGAAAAGTCTACAAAAGGACCTATGGTGTGTGTTTTTTGTTGATTATATAGTTTTAGTAATTTTCTCTAAGAATTATTTAAGTTTTATTAGATGTAGCAACTCTAGATCTGTTGTCGGATTCAAGACAATGTGCTTTAGAATCATAGCATTTTAGGATAGTCATGATTTGAGGATATATATGTTTTTCATTCAGGAAACAAAAAAAAAAAAGAAAGACCATTTCCTGGGATTTATCAATTGGAAGGAGGAGAGATCAATGACTTTGTTGTACTTGGAACTAAAGCAAATGGATCAACTTGATAAATGCTTCCAAAGTGTTATGTAATCAACAAATAATTTTTTAAAATTAAATACAGTTACAAGACAGGGAATTTGCGGTACTAGAAATTGTTCTTTTAAGAAACTGTCCATAAAACAATCATTTAAAATAACAATGATGAGATGGATGACCGGCCAAAATATATATATATATATATATATATTTAAGAAGATGCCATGGTATCACCAATGGAGAGCAAGATGAGAGGCAGCCAACTGAGGAGGTTTAGCAAAGAGCAACAAAGAAAATTTACTGCACTAGTATGATATTAATGAGGCATAAGTCAAAGGTGATACAAAGACGTGAACGAGTTAAAAAACAATGCAAGTTCAGAATTATGAGATATGAAATGATACCCTACCATTTAACTAAAGCTATCACCTTAGATCCTAACATGAAAAAGACTAGTGAAAGTTGTTGAGATAAGGCCCTATTAAGTTGAAATGACACAGGCTGTTAACTGTCAAATAGGTGTTCCGGAGCTTTGAAAATATCTACATTATTATTATTAATATTATTATTATATTTTTATTTTTATTTTTTTAACTCCCCATCATATAGGACAGAAAGAGAGGTCTAAAAAAAAAAAATACTAACCCATCTAGTGGAGAATAAAAACCCAAGGGCTGCAAATTATCAGTTAGATCCGAGATTTTAGCACCAGTGTCATCATAGAGTTCAACAGACATTGAATTAACAGAAGTACCACATTTTTTCCACAGCTTCTCCTTTACGGCTTCCACAGACATCTGAAAGCAACAAGACCAAAAAAGAGGTTGTCAATCATAACATAAATATCGTGAGGAATTTGAGTTTCACACGTTAAGCATTTGACTTCCTTATAATAAAGGCACACAATTAAAAGCAAAAAATAAGTAATGTTGGGGGAGAAATCCACACAGTCCGATACGACACCGTTTTCCTGCAAAGAAGAGAGTAGAAGATCGATGAATCTTGACGGCACCGGTGTGGTGCCTGCCAAGAGCTCTCCGACGATCAAGTCAGTCACCGGAGGTCTAAAAGAAAGGCAGGGATTTAATAATCGTTTTTTTGTCGTACCTTTATTGACTGGTAGGATCTCCTTCTTATAGTCGCTCTCCCTCAGTTCATTTGCGGGATCAGAGGAGATCCGCTTGTGCAAGATCAGAGGAGATCCGTTTACTGCCAGATTTGTCGGGGATTTGATTTACCCCTTTTACTTCCTCAAATTGTGCCAAGGTTATCCTTACCTTGTTGAACCACATCTTATTTCATTATCCTTGATAATAAAATATTATCATTCTACTGGTCAACACTTAGTTGCCTCTGTCGTCAGGTCAAGGTAGGTTAGGTTTATTTTTCCCTATCAAGTAACATGGCTATACTTCAACAGATCAACCATAATGTGTTCCAAAAGATGCAACAGAGAGGAAAATGAGAATGGTATAATCCAGAAATCGATATAGTAAAGACTGAATGGTACCTATAGACTTTATTGCACAATAATGCTTTATGAATAACAAACTTAATCCCTTTAGTCATTTAATAGGTGGTATGGGCATATTCTACACCACCTATAGATGCACCCGCGAGGAGAGGAAGATTGGTGTGCATAGAAAGCAAGAGACAAAGAGGTAGACCAAAACTAACATGGAATGAAGTGATAAGAAATTATTTTTAAGAATTAAATCTAGTAGGAGATATGGCTTATGATAGGAAAAGTGGAAAAAGAGAATCCATGGGGCGGACCCCATTTGTACGGGATAAAGGTAAGGATGATGACATCAGCATCATGCCATTGTTAAAATTCAACAAACTTCTCTAAATATAACTCAAACATGAACTGAAAAAAACCAAACATAAATAGCAAAACTCTATGGCTTAGATCAAAACCCATTAAAAAGCATAGAAACTCAACTCTTACTATTTTAACCTAATATATAAAATATTATGTTTTAGACATGAACATTTCTAAAAGAGCGTGGATTTCAATATTGATTCAAGAGCAACGGTCAATATATGAGTGACCTGAATATTAGAGCAGGGAGCAGTAGTTGATTGCAGTTTCTTACATCGAAGCAATTTTGGCATTTACAATTTTATAATTCAATAAGAACGCAATTTGAAACATATGCAATAATGCAATGGGAATGTGTTTCAGTGTGATGCGAACTCACATTGCGTGCGCACACACACACACAAGTAGAGGCCAATGACCACACAAGTAGGAACAGTATGAGGTCCAGTTAAAATTGAAAGCAAGAAAAAAGAAAAGGCATTAGAAAACAATGGTCAAGGTGGTGAGAAATGACATGGTTGTCCACGTTTTAACATGGATATAGCCCAGGAGAGTACATGGAAGACAAAGGACTCTGAATTTGTACATTATATTTTCTACGGTTTCATTTAAGTATTTGATAATATTATGAAAGTACATATTCAAAAATAATATGATTGCCGAGAATGACGACACTGAATAGCAAAAGTAACCCCACTCTTCCCAGCTACCACATTCAGCACACATGGAACCTAAAAAAATAATGCTCTGCTCATCCCAGCTACATGGACCATGAGAATGACCACACTGAATAGCTAGAGGGTTATATTGCCTTCACACCACGTTTAGGATCAATTTGAGTTGTACATTCTATAGCCAATAGAACACCCACTTTCCATCATTTGATCCAATCATGCAGTACCAAGGAAAGGACTAATGCCTTTTTCCCAACAAAACAAGAAAAGCCCAGTTCTTTTAAATGCTCCCTCTCTGAGTAACAAAATAATAATAATAATAATAATAATAATAATAGAAGAAGAAGAAGTTCAGAAACCATGTTACAAATTGGCACCAACTAATCATATAAATTAAGCAATATAATCAATGTTTTCTAAGAACTCAATGAACATCGGAAGGGCTAGGGTTTCCTCTTCACCTTATCACTGAAAATCAACAGTTGAACTAAATCTGATAAACACTTCATTTCATGCTATTGAATCTTCCCAGAAACTGAATAAATTACTTGCAACATATATATGTATGTATATATATATATATATATATATATATATATATATATATATATGGATTGAAAGGACCTAAAATTTGAATGTGCATTGAGACATTTGAAGCCTCGTGAAATCATAAATTGAGTTGAAAGTACAGTTTAACAAAGAAATTTCGTACCTGAAGTGAGAAACGAACATCAGGAGAAAAGGACTTGATATTAGAGTGAGTTATACGCAAGAGAACTGAATCGTCACTCTGAATCTGTAACAGAGACGCCATGGCCTTCCGAATCCGACCCTGCTTTAGTTTTTGCGTCTTTTTCTATCAATATATATATATATATACACACACACACACTGATATATTTATTTATAATATGTATAAGACATAATTATGATAGCATTTGTTCGAACAAATTACATTTCAAATTCGAAATATCCTCCATTTATGTAAACAATAATAATAATAATAATATTTTTTTTACATTCAAATTCGAAATTACATTTGTAAACAATAATAATAATAATAATAATATTTTATTTAGAGTGGGTTTGGACGGGTTTAAAATGGGTTGAATATGAATGGATCACTAATCCATTCTCAATTCATCAATAATGAGTCATAAATAAGTAAGGACTTAAATAGGCGAGTCAAAATGAGTTAACCCATTTCAACCTATTTTTATTTATTTTATTTTATTTTTTATTTTTACTTTTACAAATTTTTTACTTTCCTACCATCCATGGCTAAAAAAAAAAAAATTAATAATTTGTTCTTACATTAAATTTTTTATTTCAAGCATTACAATTTTTTTTTTTCCTTTTTTCCTTTGGAAAAAATCACTATATAACTTAATCAACAATATTAATTAATTTTTTGATATCAAGAGTTATAATATATTTTTTGAAATTTATTTTGAGAAAAGTCACTGTACAACTTACTCAATAACATTAATTACATATATTTAAAAAAAAAAAGAGTTTTGAGCAAGAATTTCAATTAATTGTGGGTCATTTATTTTATACAATAAAATAAAATTTAAAGGAAGAGAGAGAGAGTGTGTGTGTGTTATTATAGGAAAAAAAGAAGAAGAAAAAAACCAACGAGGAAAGGGAATGCAAGAAAAAAAAAAAAAAGTAAAGAAAATAAGTAGTGAGGTGGGAGAACGCAAGGAAAAATAAATAAAGGGTAAATTGCAGCGACATCCCCTCAGGTTTACCTAAAAGACACGTAGATACAACTTAAGTCATTTTTGGACAGTAACACCTTCCAGGTTTGCAAACTTAGACAATGACGCCTCATTCTATAAAAAAGGAGCCAAACACAGCCTTAATTGACATGAAATGTCTAATATGCCCTAAAATATATTTTAATTCTCTCATAAAATGACCAAACTACCCTTTCCTTATCTTTCTCGTTTCATCCATTTTTGCCAAACACAGATTCGTCGTTCCAATCCAAGAAAAACAAAAAACACAGAGAGAACAACCCATTTACAGTCCATCTTGCTCGCCAGCTGCCGTCTGAAGCTCTCTGCCATCGCTTTTACAGCCCATTGTCCTCACCGTTCAGCCATCGCTGATTCATTCCGAGTCACTGATTATCACCGCCTCATCGGAATCGCGATTTCTTTAGTAGTGGATTCGCTGCCATTTCGGACTAGCTGTTTCCACTGGCCGAGCACACCGCCGTCCATGTTCTGAACACATAGCCGTCCACAGTTCACCGCTACCACTACTCCACCGTCGAACCGGGCTCTCCACAGCCCATCACCGATCAGATCATCCACGGTCGAACCGTCCTTGTCGCCACCGAGATCTGATGTCGGACAACCTCCTCATCGCGACTGTAATATCCCTAATTTTAAAAGGATATTTCTGGTATTTAATCTTTGATTTAATTGCATTTTTATTTGATTAATTGTTTAATTGTGGTGATTAAATTGAATTAATTGAGTTAATTATTAATTGGATTTAATTAATTATTTGAATTAATTGGCTTATCTGAGTTAATTGTATTTTTTTTATTTAATTGATTTATTGGTTTTAATTAATTATTTAAATTAAATTAAGTGCTCAATAATATGTAACTTGGATTAATTACTTGTTTAATTACTATACTTGTTTAATTGTTTTACTTAGTTAATGTAATGGTTTTTTTTTTCTTTTTTTTCTTTTTTTTTTTTTTTTTTTTTTTTTATGGTTACAGTTATAATTACTATAATTATAATTCACGTATAGATGAGCTGCCGTAGGATTAGAACTGAGATAGTTTCATGGGCCGATTAGGATGGGGATTAGGGCTTAGTCTCTGATTATTTTATGGACTAGGGTATTAATATACAGCTATTAATATAAAGCAATACATGGTTTAGGGTTTGGAAAACAGAAACACATAAGTCTGTAAACCACAAATAGAGCCTCTAATCTTGTAGTGAAAACCAGAGAGATACAGAGAGAACTGGAGTGAGAATTTGGGTGGTTCACAAAGCAGAGTCAAGGAGGGAAGTTTGGTGTGTGTTACTGGACTACAATAGGAGCAGTAAGGGTGGTTTAACACAACCAACATTGCCAGAGAAGATAGAGACAACAATTAGAGCTTTTTATCCAAAGTTTCAAAAGGCAAGTCTCTGTTCTTCTCTTTCCCTTTAATTCGTGTTCTGTGCATGCCTAGTTAGACTTCAGGGATTTAATTAAGGCTAAAAAGGATTTAAACCAACATAATAACATGTCTTTTATGCATACATGAATTTTGTTTAATCTCGTGAATTAACTGCTTTAAATAATCTTTGATGTTCTGCTATTTATTTCTTCTGTGGTTTACGATTAAGCTTTGCTTTAGTTGAGATTAGTAATGCGATTAGATGCCTTGAAACTAATCTGGGACTGAGTTTGAACCCTAGAACAAGTTCTTAGAATAGTAATTAATTGCACTAACTTAGTCTGAATTAATTTGTTGTGACTTGCTTAAAATTTTCAAACGGAGGTTTTGTAATCGTTGCTTTAAAACTTGTGTTCCATACATGTTCTAATTGGACATCAGTGGTCTAAAATTTATTTAGGATTAAGATTGAACCCAGAATAAGAATTAGAACACATTACGGAGGTTCTGTAAATCACTGGAGTTGAAGCAGACGAAGCTAGAATGGACGAGGGCTGCTAAGAGGAGGGAGAAAAGGCTCCCAAACCTCTTAGAGCCGGCTCCCAAAGGGGAAAGTCGGCTCTTGGTGTCTTGGAGCCGACTCTAGGTAGAAAAAATGGAGCAGGCTCCCATTTTAAGAGCCTGCTCTCTTTTGAAAACACAGTAACGTGGGTTTTTAAGGACTGTTTGGTTTTCTGGGTTTATGCACTTGATTTAAATTGTTTTAAATGATGTGTAGGACTGTATAAGGCTGGTATTATGGTGGAAAAATATAAATTCATAATTGGATGGAAGATCAGAGTAAGAAAAACCTAAGAGAAAACTGGTAACTTGAACATTGTTTTGTTAATTTTATTTACTGGAATTTAGCAAGGTTTTTATATATAATCTAATTATATATAAATATATATTTTTCCAGTGTTATAAGTATGGTGAATTAATTATATTTAACTGTGCCTAGTTTGGATTTAATTGATACATAAATTGTCATAATTGTATCGGTTTATCGACTGTTTTGGAGGATTGGAACGCTATGATTTATTTTAGCAGATTAAATAATTGGAGCTTGATTTTTAGGGTCTATAGTGAATACCTAAAGTCGTTATATATGTAGTAAACTGTACTGATGCATATTTTGGAGAACTGTCGATAAATTAATTAAATATTATTTTTATCAATTATGTGGATTAGAGGACTGTATGCACCGGTATGGGACGGTGGCATACTAAGGATGGATTAGTTCAGATACTAAGTCCTACCTAAAATAAATTAAGGTGTGGAATAACCATAGAGGTTAAGTCCAACCCTTATTAGTGTCAGGTCAGTAAGTAACTGAATAACATAACTTGGTTTCTTGGGATGGATCGTAATACATATATCAAGCCACTACAACAATTGGATGATATCTTGTATTAAGATGAACACAGACTTTATATACTTATTATATGCTACCATGGTATGAGCTTGAGTCTCAGGACCATGGTTAGGGCGCGTATATTGCCTATGATGGATAACTGGACATAGGTGTTGTTCCCTGATAGGTCTAGGTACACATGACCACGTAATGTGCGATTTGCATGGTATCTCTACTCAGGCTGAGACAGACCTATTGGACTAGTGAGCGTCCTATAGTGTGTAATATATACATATATGGACTACTTTAGATATTGTTGAGTCTATCTAGGATGTATCTGCGTATCGGATTCCTGTTTGGATTGTATCAGGACTTGCATGTGGGCCTGACCCATTCTTTTATTTTTCAGGTGCTTGTCAGTTCCAGGGTTAGAGCTTGGTCGTGCAGAGCAGATTCAGACTTTTATTCCACCGACTACGTAGGACTGCTTACTTTTTAGCTTTGGATCGTATTTCAGTTATTTCATTCACAATTAGGATTTTTATTAGGGGTCCACTAGATGGATTCCCAAGTTGTTAATTAATTTGAGGTTTTGGAGTTTGGATTTTAATAATTATATTTTAAGGATTTTCATTATAATTCAATTCAACTATTTTTTATTTACTTCTTATTATTTCATCTTGTATTATGTGTTCATTAAAATATTAATTATTTGATATTTCCTTCGGGTTTGGGCCTGGGCCTGATTAACTCGTGTCTCGGATCTGAGGGGTATCACAATGACAAAGGCGATTTAAAGGTTGCGGATTTCAGACTCGGTGCGATCACGAACCAGATCCGACCGCGGTTCATTCCACACCCGTAAGTCCTGTCGGTGTCATCCTTGAACATCGGCGGTAGGTTCTGTGCATCGTGGGTGTGATAGGGTGGTGGTTCATTTAGGAGTGGTTGTGGACGGTGGTGGTGGGTCGAAATTGGTGGTGGGTTCATTTGGGCATGGTTATGGACGATGGTGGTGGGGCAAAATTGGTTATGGGTGTGATGGGGTGGTGGCTGGTTCATTTGGGGGTGATTATTGACGGTGGTGGTGACTGGTGGGTTGAATATGGTTGCGGGGGTGGTTTTGGATGGTGGTGGTGGGTTGGATATGGTTGTGGGTGTGATGGGGGTGGTGGGGTGTGTGTAAGAAAGGGGATTAGGCCTAATTTGGGGGGTTCCTAGTTGTGGACGGTGGTGGTGGTGGTGGTGGTGTTTGGGTGTGATAGTTGTGAAGTGATCCAAACACAGAATTGAGGGTCATTTTGGTCAATTCATAGGAAATTATAAAATTAATTTATTCAACTTTGAAGTCAAAGTATAAACATGTACTTTCATCACGTTTTGGGTGTCTTTGTTCGGTTTAGCAAACTTGGGGGGTGTCGCTATTCAAAAATGGCCTAAGTTGTATCTACCTGTCTTTTAGGCAAATCTAAGGGGGTGTCACTGCAATTTACCTATAAATAAATAAGAAGAAGCAGGGAGAAGAGAAAAAAAAAAAAAAAAAGGAGGAGAGAGAAAAAAAGATGAAAAAAAAAAGAAAGATAAAAGAGAAGGAAAGAGGCAGAAAACGGAAGAGAGCGAAATGAAGGAGAAAAAAAAAGAGGGTTTTGTTTCAATGGGTTAAGATGGGTACCCACTCTTAACCAATTATTGATCATTGAATTGTATGGGTATCCATTTTTTACCTATTGTTACCCACTCAATTAAATTTGGGTGCCCAAATGATTTAGGTGGGTCTGGGCAGTTTAATGGGTTTGGACTTAAATTGTCACCCCTAACCACCACCAATAATTACTTCCGCATTCGGTAATAAATTTACACATACATAATTACTAATAATTCAATAAAAATAAATATAAATAATTGAATTTTAGTAAAACAAAATCTAATTAGAGAAAAAAATATATAATTTATTTAAGTGAATATATAACAACAATTCTATATCAAAATATATCAATAAGTCAATTTCGGTATTTCAGTATATTAATTTATTTAATAATATGGTAACAGGAAATACTAATAATAATAATATAGTAGTAGGAAATATTGAAATTCAATAAAATGAAATCTAATTAGAGAAGGAAATATGTAGTATGAAAAAATTTATTTAATAAAATAGTAGTAGGAAATAATAATATAATAGTAGTAGGAAATCTAATAAGAGAACAAAATATAGAATATTTAAAATCAAAGTTACTAAAATTCAATAAAAGAATATCTAATTAGAGAAGAAAATATATAATTTATTTCAACAAATACATAACAACAAGTCTATATCAAAATATACCATTAAAATTCTGAATTAAGAGTTCTATATACAAATTATTTTTATATTTAATTTTTTATAATTTATTTTAAATTTTTATAATGTTATTTATTTCAATAAATACTATTATTTATATATTCTTATATATATTTTTGACCATTTATAAAAAAATTTATTAATATTATTATTTTTTTTACGTGGGGTAAAATCACATAACCCCCCTATATTATCATTTTCGTGCAAAAAACCTCCCATGAAAATTAAACACCTCCCTAAACTATAAAAAGTTAAGTTGGGATCAACTCCAAGAGTCCCAACATGTCATATAATATAATAGCGCTTTTGATTGTGAAATATGTATAGGTACTGTTTCTGTCTGCATATACGTGTATTTAAATGTTTTTATGCACGTGTATTCTTCAAGTTTCATCTGTATATACGTGTTGTATGGACGCATGAAAAATCACGTTATTGGCCCAGTTACAAAAATCCTATTTTCCTGTCCCAAGTCATTCTTGAGCCAAGTCTTCAGTTTAATTTGTCATTTAATAATTAAGTTTCGATATATATATATATGTATGTATATAAGTTAAGTAAGGGCTTAACGTGCTATTAATGTGCTATATCTCACCTCATCCCGAATGGTATCAGAGCCTAAAAGATCTATAGGAATATATAAGTTTATCCAAAAAATTTAAATATTTAACTTACTATTTGGTTTTTAACTTTACCACTAGGATTTGGTTCTCGACAGTTCTAAAAGCTATTGTCTTGAAGTCTAGGAATATATAAAGATTTAGTTTTAAGTTATAAAACTATATATATATATATATACACATACAAACTGAAGCCTTGCCTAGTTGCCAAGAATTGTGTTTGGATTGTCACTGTAATAGGTTTTGTGGGTTCGGTATCTATGGAGAAAATAAAGTTTTAAATGAAAAAAGGCAGCCACAAAGGTTAGCTCGAAGCTTCTCATTGGTGCAAAAGCCAACAAAGTCCTCCTTGCAGAAGCTGGAAAAGACTTTGATGATTTCCTCTTCAACCTACTTTCTTTGCCATTTGGAACCGTTGTCAGGCTCCTTGCTAACGAAACCATGATTGGCTGCATTGGAAGCCTGTACCAAAGTATTGAAAACCTGTACCAAAGTATTGAAAACCTGAATGAAGCTTACATGCAGCCCAACCAACGCAAGGACTTGATCTTGAAACCCAATGGACCAACTCCTATGGCTAATGTTCCGCTTTTGTTGCCCAACTATTGTGTACCCTCAGCGGCTAGATAAGTTCTTTTGGTTGAGATTCCATCTATCTTGATGAATATGATCAATCTTCATACCTCATTTCTTATTTCTTATGGAAAGTTGAAGGTGCATTATAATTTAAGCACTGCTATTTGTTTTGTCAGGCAACTGTCGCAACACTCCGGCCTCCTTGTAGGGCAGACCACTCATGATGGGACCGGAAATGGGGTTGTGAGTGTTGTGACAGTCGCCTGAAGTTTTCAAGTTACATCTAATTGTCAATGTGAAAGTTCTCAATCTTAAGCACCTACTCATAAGTAGATTGGCTTGGGACACTTTTGTTCTAAACAGTTACAGCCATGGCAGCAGGGAAAAAGGTCAGCTTGAAGCTTCTCATTGATCCTAAAGCCGGCAAAGTCCTTTTTGCAGAAGCTGGGAAAGACTTTGTCGATTTTCTCTTCAACCTACTCTCTCTGCCGGTTGGTACCGTTGTCAGGCTTCTCACTAGTGACACCATGGTTGGTTGCATTGGAAATCTATACCAAAGTGTTCAAAACCTGAATGAAGGTTACATGCAGCCTAACCAAAATAAGGACTTGCTCCTCAAACCCACTGCACCAACTTCGGTACCTAATGTTCCTCTCCTGTTGCCTCGTGATTGTGTATCCTCAGCAGCCGGAAAGTTCTACAATTGTGGAGGAGGTCACTCGTACATGACGAACAAAGCAGGGACAAGGTGTCCCTCAAGTAAACATGGCATGTCAACAGAAATACCATTTGTTGCTCCAGCTAATGAGGAGGTGACTTCAACTGGTGAGGGTGGTTATGTTAAGGGCTTAGTTACCTACATGGTGAGCGATGATTTGTCTGTGACGCCAATGTCTATGATATCTGGCGTTTCCTTGCTGAACAAGTGCAATGTTATGAAAATGGATGAGCTTGAAGAGAAGGTGGTTGAGTTTGGCATGGATGAGGTAAGATAATTCTCTCTATAGTGTTCTGTCTATTGGTGGATATATAAATATATATATATGATGCTAGAAACATAGATCACTAGTTTTTGCACCTAAGGATTGAAATTGTCTCTTGGCACAATTCATTGAGAAGAATTTTGATTTTTGTTTTTGTTTTTGTTTTCTTTTCTTTTTTAAGCATGTTATAGAAAGTTAAGGGAAGGTGCTATCTCTGGAGCTTTGGTTGCTTCAACAGGGTTATTTAATTAAAAAATTTCTGTCAGCTGCTTTTAAATGATAATATAAGCATCCTAAACAGCTCTTTCTTACCATTTGAATTCAAAAATCATTATTATGAAGAAAATTTCTTATAATTTTATCATGATAAGTACCTCATATTTGTTGGAGTTACACTGACAAAAAAATTTTAAAATTTGTTTCTCCTCTGACATGTGAGATTTATAATAATCCTAATTGTATTTTTCATTTTTTTTTTTTTTTTTTTAAGGCTTTGGATTTGTTGAAGGGTTCTTTACAGTCAAAGGCTGCGCTCACTTATGTCTTCCTTGGGAACAAGGGGGTCAAGGATACTGGTGGAGCTAATTGATGCAAAGCTGATATGGAGTTTTTTTTGGTTTTTTAGGCTTTTGGAGGTAGTTTAAACAGAGATCAAGTCAAGTTGATTTTATTTTTCTGGGCTGTATCTATGTTTTTTTGGCTGTATAGTTTACACAGCAAGAGATGTTCATACTCTCTTTCAGTTGAGACGATAAAAATATTAAACAATTTCTCCTTCGCAAGTGATATATTAGGCTCGACACAAGAGTTTCATTTCTTCACCTTATGGGTGTAGATTGATGGAATATATGAATTTATCAAAGTTTTGATTTGATTTAGTCTGCTAAAGATTTTGAATTGACAATTGGTTGGGTAGGAGGATAGGAAAAACAATATTTTTATTCTTTTTTTCAAGACTACACGAGTAAATATGCTGCATTGAAGAAAAAATCCTCAAGATTTTTTTTTTTCTTTTTCCTCGGCTTGTCAAGTCCTGCTTACACAATATCTAACATGCCTTTATTGACATAAAAAATATGCTGCATTGAGGAAAAATTGCCTTTTTTTTTTTTCTCTTTAAGTTTGGACTATGTCTGCAGGTGTGGCAAAAGAATTATTTGCACCTAAGAGAAATAGATAATGAGACACTACAATCCAAATCTAAAGAATTATTTGCACCTAAGAGAAATAGATCATGAGACACTACAATCCAAATCTATTCCAGCTAGGCCAACCCCTTGGTTTCACTGCTCTTACTCTTTTCATTGCAATAATACTGTTTCTGTTGTTCCCAAGGCAATTAGCCTTCAATCTATTATTCCAATACCCTCTCTCTAATATTGGAATTCATGCATTAATTTTTCTTGTTCGGCACAAAATAATTGAGCTGTTGATTATAGTTTTGTTTTGTTTGGGAGTGTACTGAATTTATTCGTTTCAAAACAAATAATGGAGCCTATTTGTTACAGTTTTGTTATATTTGAGAGTACGAATAGGCATATTGGAATTAGAATTGTAGGAAATTTAGTTGAAATCAAACATTTCTTTTATATAATTGTATATGCATGATTTTAAAGCCCACAAAGTCCTTTTTGCAGAAGCTGGGAAAGACTTTGTCCATTTCCTCTTCAATCTACTTGTTGGAGTTGTTGCACAATCAACCGGATGTTTTGATACCAATTGTTGTGGCGAAACACGAAAAATAAATAACGATATTTGAAAAATAATCAAGCAATCACGAAGAATAAAAAAAATCACACACAAAAAAACAAAATATACATGGTTCATCTAAAATTTAAGACTAGATCCATGGAGCGCACCGAACAAATTTCACTATGAAAAATATGAAGAATTACAATGGAGAATTTTCTCTCAATTGCCCTCTCTTGTGTTAGTACAAAGTAATCAATCATACAACAAGTATGATTATCCTCTCTTTTTTTCTTCTCACTATTTTCACCACACCCTAAAATCTGATTAGAGTTGATATATATAGTCCCAAACAATTTATCCTACAAGAAATTGTCTTTTGCATAGTCTAAAACCAATAAGGAAGTTAAAACAGATCGGGAAACTAAAGTTACCAAAGATTGGCTACCAGTTCAAGATAGCCAGAGAAGATTCCTTCAGAGATTGGCTACCTGATCAAAGATGGCTACCGGTTCTCAATGGACAGAATAGAAAAAGTCATAATCTTCAAAAGTTGAACCTGTTCCTTGATTGACTACCAGTTCAAATTGGGAATAATGTAAACTTCCTAAAAATCTTTCACAATCAGACTCCACAAAACCACAACAATCTCCTTTGGAGGCTAGAGCACTTGTAAACTGATTCCATCTTCTTTTCATGCATGTCCCATGCATGTCGGTGCGCTTATCTCTGTCTTCAAGCTTAAAGACCGATTAAAGCTGGGCACAACTTTAGTTTCTCTATGGTCACTGTCTTGGTCAATATATTAGCCGGATTCTTAGTGCCAAGTATTTTCTGTGTTAATACCCCATTTTCTAACAAAGATATGATGAAGTGATACCGAAGTCCTATATGCTTAGTCTTTGAATGAAATGCTGAATTCTTTGCTGAATTCTTTACCAGATGTACTATCATCGTGCAAAACATTCTTCACCTGTTTGAATCCCAACTCTGTCAACAAATCTTGTAACCAAATCATCTCCTTGTTGGCCTCTGTCATCGCCACATACTTTGCCTCTATAGTAGATAACGCTACAATCCTCTATATTTGCGAAATCCAACTAACTGTAGTTGTACCCACCGTGAACGCATACCCGGTAGTACTTCTTCTGTGGTACCTCGTAGATATCTCAATATCCACTTCACTGCTTCCCAGTTTAGCTTGCCCGGATCTTTCATAAACCTGCTTATTGCTTCCACTGCATATGCAATGTTCGGTCTTGTGCACACCATGACATACATCAAACTTCCAATGGCTGAGGCATATAAAATTTTAGCCATGAAGTTTTTCTCATCCTCTGTCTTCGGACACTGATCTTTAGATAATCGGAAGTGACTAGCTAAAGGGGTACTTACCGCCTTAGCATTATTTATGTTGAACCTCTTCAGAACCCGTTCAATGTACTCGGCTTGAGACAACTGTAAAGTACCTTTCTGCTTGTCTTTATCAATCCTCATTCCAAGAATTTGTTTCGCTGCACCAAGATCATTCATTTCGAATTTACTAGACAACTGTTTATTCAATTTGCTGATTTCTTCAAAATCAGAACCTGCCACTAACATGTTATCAACATAAAAGTAGAAGGATAATGAAACTTGACTTAAACCTCTTGAAGTAGTAACAATGGTCAGCAGTGTACTTGTTATAGGCATGTCGCTTCATAAAACCATCAAACTTTTTGTACCACTGCCTCGGGGCTTGCTTCAAACCATACAAGCTTTTATTCAACTTATATACTAGTTTCTCTTTCCATTTGATTGAAAAACCCTCTGGTTGTTGCATGTAAATCTCCTCCTCTAAGTCACCATGGAGGAAAACAATTTTGACATTTAATTGCTCAAGATATAACCCCTCTACTGCAACAATACTAAGAACTGAGCGAATGGTACTCAATTTCACAACCGGAGAAAAAATGTCTGTATAGTCAATGCCTTACTTCTGCTGAAAACTTTTGACCACCAATTTTGTCTTATATCTCTTGAAACCATCGTGTTCCTCTTTTATCCTATATACCGATTCAATTTTTGACAAGGCACAAAATAATATATGTGCTTAATTGATATGTGTAATTTTATATATTTGAGATTTACCTTACAACCTCATCTATAGAAGGCATATTTTAAAAGAAAAAGTAACGTTGTCATAAACTCTTCTTTAGTAAAACATTAAAAATCAAAGTCACATTTATTTATTTTATTTTATTATTATTTTTTTTCTATCCCTAAAGTTCAAGCAAGGATTGCCTTAGCAGACTTTAAACACTCAACCTTTCTTTTAAAATAGATAGATTATAACATCAGAATCGGGGCTAACATTCAAGGAAACAATCACATGATCGTGTTGCTTGTATGAAAATGGTCCATCATACAGGAAAAATATATATTTAAAAAAAAAACAGAAGACATTTCCAAGCTATTAAAAGATGAATTTCAACTAGGGTGGTAGTCTAATGATACTTTTTCATTTTTTAAAATAGAAGATATCTACTAGCCAAAAACAGAAAGAAAGAAAGATGAATATTCAGTTTGTTAATTTGATTAAAAATAATAATAATAAAACATAGAATGTAAACTTGACTGAAATGTATCATTTTACAAGGTTTTGAGTCTGAAATTTCTGTTGTAGCGAGTATTGTAACAGCCGCACAGTCCGAATCACTTGCACATATAACATGATCACACTTGTGACTAATCATCACGGTCCACTCTGGACTACAAAGTTGTATGCAGAGGGTCTGAGCTAAGAAATTTTCATTACAAAATTCAACAATGTGTATCAATTACAAATTTCTTTTTATTTGACAAAAAATAATATAAAAAAAATCGAAACAAAATTTGGTACAACTTCAAACTTCTACGACAAAGTCAAAGCCCTTCCGCCATCAGTTAATCCAGTTCGAAGAATAGCAAATGAACTGAACATCACCATAAAAATAATAATAAAAAATAAAAAATAAAAAATAAAAAAATGACAGAACTTCAAGAGAAAACACCATTCAGTTGATTTGATTAAAATTTTAGAAGAAATCTGAACCCTATATTAGCAGTGAAAACATTGAGAGATAAATAATAATAAATAAATAAAGGAGATATAATGAGAGATTTAGAGAGAGAAATGAGTGAAAAACTCAACTGTAGAAGATGGTCTGCATCTTTTGTGACTTGTGGATTCAATTCGAAATTACGTGATTCAAACGAATTATTAACTGACGCATAAATAAAAGTGCCTTTGTATTGCTGTTGTAATGATAAAAACATTTTTATTAGTATAGTCATCATAAAAGTTCTATCACTAAAAAAATATGTTAGGCTTAAGCGTTTGGTGATACATTATATAAAATAATTTTTATATTTAAAGTATTTTTAAATATATTTAGTAATAATAGTACTTAAAGTACTTTTATTACGAGTACTAATTTTAGTATATTATCCGTACAGTAATAAACATGTACATTACGCAAATATAAATAAGAAAAAATTACACTTACATAGAATTAGGAGCCTTAAATTACAAAATGGTCTATTTTAAAAGTTCATTTTTCACTTTGATTGAATTAAGTAAAACAATTACATATGCATCAATAACTATTTTTAGGTCCAAATTGTCCTCCAAACACTTATTCCAAAATATTAAAAATTGTTCCTCTAAAATCAAGTACCTTCTTTAAATAATTTATTTCCTTTAACTTTGAACCATATTGCTACAACTTTCATATATAAACACACACGAGAACTTACACCAATAATAAAAAAGATACCAATTGGTCCACCGGTATCACCTTTTTTTTCCTAAAGTGGAGGTCGAGGGTTCGAACCTCAGTGGAGATAGGATGTGGGTAATTGCTTTAGCTTACAAAAAAAATAAAAATAACAATAATAATTAATTAATAATAATAATAAAGATTAAATACATAATCGTCTTTACTATGGTACATGCTTTGAGATGATCATCAATTTTTTGGCTCAATTAATTATACTTGTTTTATAAAATAAAAATAAATAAATAAAAATTTTGATTTCTAGTGATCTCTCTCGTGCGTGTGTAATGTATGTGTGTGTGTGTGTATATTTATAGGAAAATTTTCACATTTACAGGTTTATATTAGTATGACTTAGAAGATATGATTAAAGTTATCTGCAAATAAAATTA